GACACAGTGGCGGTGCGTGGGTAGGGGACCGTCTGCGGTAGGTGATTGGGCGAGCGGTTCTCTATGAATGTTCGTTGCATCCTTGGCAGTTAATGTGGTTAGTCGTCATGGTAGGTTAAGTCATGTTGAAGTTTGAATTGGTCTGCCTAGGACATAGGAAGTAAGAGCTTTGCTTATCTACAGACCAGTGTGATTCTAGTACTCGTTTCTCGTTTCCTGGTATTGCTCAAATGCAATTCCATTCAACAGTCACATGCTTTATTTTCCACATTTCCATACATGGTTTATCATATATGTAGGTGGCAACACAGGCTGCTTGCTATTAGGCATCTTAGTCTGCTAGGTTGCAAGGTTTGTGCTCTTGCAGATACCAATACATGGCTCCTGGTGGAGGCAGCAAGTCTCAACTGTTGCATCTTCTGGCTTTATTTTGTCCTGACACAGGGAGGTAAAATGAGTTTTTTCAAGGGCTGTTCTTGTTGCATCATGATGGAGTACAAAATAGTTTCATTTTACATAGTCACAATCTTGGGAGTACAAAATCTCCTGGTAACACATTATATTAGGAAACATCAAGTTTTCCAGCACTGTTGTCACAAAAGGGCAGAATGCAAAAGATCACTCATCATATTTTTCTCAGCTAGCATGAATTGTTTGTGTCATTATTGCATCATACTGCGCTGGTAAGTGCTGCTAAATATCCTGGACTTTGGGGGTTTAACCCAAGACATGGTACCCTTTTTAAAACCATTTTTACAATATGTGAGATTTTGGAAGTCTTTGGCTGTTTGACCATTTTCAGTTGTTCATTTCATGGCTTGCATCAATTTTGATGCAAATCACACCATGGCCATGAAAGTGCATTGACTACCATGACATGATGTGGAAAAAGCCTAAAGCATGTGCTCGCTCCATGGTGCCCATCTTTCCTCACCCATAAACTAAAAGCATAAATGTGTAGGAAATGTGAGGCTCATGTCAGTAGTGAAAATTCCTATTCAGCTGTGGGAGCTCCGGCCCCTCCCTTCTCCCCCGGGCTGCAGGTCCTACACTGAGAAGAAGGTAGGCCAAATTAGTGGAAAATCTGTGTATTGGTGTATTTTGTGGACAGGTGGCATCATTTTGCACTGCTTAACCCCTCTATTTCATTTTGCAAAATTATGCTCCTGACTTGAGCCACGTTTCTGACCCATTGGGTAGATTTCTGTTGGGTGTTTTCCATCAGTGCCTGCCATAATTGTTTGTGGTAGCGCCTTTCATGCAAACATAATGGGACCAAAAGGCTACTTTGTGGCACTTTTATTGTGGTTTAGTTCATGATGCTACCACTTACAACTGAGGAAAATGTGTCTACAAGCAATGTTTCAGTCAGGATATGGTTGGTACAAAACAAGCTTGTTTTGGAAGTGTTGCTTTCTGTTTAAGAATGTTTTTTAATGCCATTGAACAGTGTTGGAAATTCCAAAAATTTTCATGTTAGCAGAGTGCAAATTTTCTATGGTGGAGCACAAAATTTTCCAATTGCCATGGGTCATTGCACTTTTATCTAGGTCATTTTTGGGAGATTATGGTACAATGGGTGGTACTCAACAAAGGTTCCACTTTCCATGTACAGCAATTCATGTAAATGCACTTCAAATTAAAGAAAATGTCAGTATTTAAAGTGGCGCACTGAAACAGCACTCTGTCTCAGACTCTGTAATATGAAACTCATGTGCATATATATATGGGTTTGCAAGTTATGAAAAAGCTTACCAAACTTTGGATCTAGGCAGGTTTTTTCTACCAAAGTATTGCTGTAAATAGTAAGCATCGTACGCGATTAGCCCAAAGTTACCAACAAGTCACTTAATGAGAGTGCGTAGTTTCACAAAATAAGTTCGGAGCTGACCAGAGAAAAATGGAACACAAAAAATGCTAATGAATGTGCCACAGACGGCCACCTACTCACGCTTCACCACGGTCACGCTACTCACGCTCACCTGGTAACTGGTTTTGAAAACAGCCAATCCTTGCCCTCAACCTTCCAACTCCCGGACAACACACGAGGCCCCGCACGTCCCAGCCAACTAATGAGACAGGCGGCATTCTCAACCGATTTACCGAGCCAGCGCAAGTACAATACCTGACAGACCCGTGCAGGCCGGCCGGCCGGGTCTGAGTCAGTCACTCCGCTGACTCCGGTGGATAATACAATGTATTAATGGATTTTGGTACGCTTTAACTGATATTGCAAAGTATGATAATTTTTGTTTCAATTCATAGATGTTTTTGTCCCAATAAATCCCTTTTCTTAATTTGCGAGGCCAAAGTTATGGATTCACATTACTCTGGTCTCCTGGTGTTTGTGTGGGAGTGAGATGGCTGGGTCTGAACAGTCCTTTGGCTATTTACATGAACATTTTTCGATTTAAAAGGAATTATAAAGCTTGAATTCCCAGCTTTAATTTCAAACCCTTAAATGACTACTTTAACTTGGTTTAAATCCCCAGCTGCCTTTACATTTTTGTACTCCGGACACCAGCAAGTGGCCAAAAATCCAGCCGCGGGGCGGTTCTGGACGAGTACAAAAAGTCGTTCATAACCGTGATGCCCATCTGTGTACAGCTTCCCTCGAAATGTTTTCAAACCTGTTCAAGACATGAGCGCGAGCTGTATATTTGTGCTCTTGAGAAACCAGTCACAAGGAGACGAATTATTCAAACCAATTGAGAGAGTTTCGCTATGTTCAGCCTCCAACCTGCGCTGGGAGGCGGGCGCAAGTCACTGAAAAGTTGAGACGTTTCCGACGCTTAATTGCGAGTGAATTTCCTATTTGCATTTCCATGACAGAGTAGTGGAGCGTGAGTAGGTGGCCGCACGTGGTAGGTGCTTTGGTGTGCGGTACTTGTCACCGTTCATTGCATCCTAGGCAGTTAACCTGGTTGTTAATCAATGGTAGGTTAAATCATGTTCAATTCTGGGTTAGTCCGCACGGGGCGGAATAAAGTGCGAGCTTTGCTAATTTACAGACCGGTGCGATTCTGCTGCTCGTTTCTCATTTACCGGCATTGGTCAAAGACGATCCTATTCAACATTCACATACTTTATTTTTCACATTTCCATACATAATTTGTCATATACGTAGGTGGCAACACAGGGTGCCTGCTATTGAGCATCTAAGTTTGGTGGGAGCAAGATTTGTGCTCTTGCAGTTATCACTGCGTGGCTCATGATGGAAGCAGCAAGTCCCAAGCTGTTTCACCTTCTGGCTTTGTTTTGTCCTGAAACAGAGAGGTAAAATGAGTTTTTCCGAAACTGTTTTTGTAGCATTATGGTGGAGTACAAAATATTTCACTTAACCCAGTCACAATCCTGGAGTACAAAATCTCCTGGTATACATTATTCCAGGAAACGTCGATTTTTCCAACACTGCCATTGAATAATGAAAGTTGTTTCATCTTGATATGAATTTGCTCATTTTACCTTTTTATGAACTTGCTTGTTTTACCTTTATATGGACCTGCTCCTCCAACCAGTGACCTCTTCAGGTGGCCAAAGGTCATGCCATGCTTTGAGTGAAGACATACACCAAATTTCTCTCTCTTACAAACAATATTTTGCCATATCCCTTGTTGTTTCTTACGTGCTTTTTTATTGTGATTCACCTTGCCTGACAAATTGCAAGTCAAAGCCAGAGAAGGTTGCACTACATAACACACGCGAACACAAAAAATAGAAAAATGAAGGCCAATGTGTGAGTACTATATGAAAGCAATTTGTGAAGCCCACTTTTCACATGCAAATCACAATACACTTGTGTTGTTTATATGCATGTGGCACCCAACAGGTGTTAATACAATAGCTCCTTCAAGTAAAAAAAGAAACAAAATCATCCACCAGGGCTAGCAGACTATAACATGACTTGTTGATCTTGATCTGTGGCCCTTAACCTTCATTAGCAGCACCATATGCTACTGAGACGCAAAAGCATGACCTTTGGTTTCATGCTGGCTGTGAAGGTATACAGCCCTTTTTGTAGGTTTTGGAGGCCCCTGGAGCAGTTCAATAATTTTTTATCCTTAGGGCGTTTTGTGACCTGCATTGGCATTGGCCATTGTGGCATGTACTGGCTTAGCAATTGTGGGCTGAACTTGATGTGGGCTGTCCATTGCTTTTCTTTATTTTTATCTCACAAAAAGGTAGTGGGACAGCTGAGTAGTATTAGTTAACCCTTTCCTAGGCAGTCTGTGCCTTTATAGGAAGCTAAGCTTCATGATGCTGTTTGGTGACCTTTGGTGGCATTTTCCAGATCAGCATGGCTGGTGACAGCCAGAGGTTTTGCCTCAAGTGGAATGACTTCAGGAACAGTGTGACTGCTGTGTTTGAGGACTTGCGGCAAGATGAGGAGCTCGTAGATATCACACTGTGCTGTGAAGGGAAGAAGGTGAAAGCTCACAGGATGATGCTGTCTGCCTGCAGCCCATATTTCCGAGAGCTTCTAAAGGTATGGCTGGCTGGTGGCCCAAGTGCTTGATATGCTCGTTGATGATGAATGATAAAAGGATTGTCACCCTTACTGTTTATTTTTTATATTTTGCACAGAAAAGCTCATCACATTGCTGTTTTCATTACACATTTTACCTTTATTATGTGCACGTCATCTGTATAATTACCTGAATATGCTAAGAACAAGGCTCAGTGTACACTGCAACTGAAATACTGGGCATTTTAATGCCTGTTCAATCTGCCCCTTTTTTCTTTGCAGAACAGCGGCAATTCAATAAGGCCCATCACGTAATGTTTGTTTCCAACTAGTGACACAGGCAATAATTCTGCGTCCAGAAAGGTAGCATCTGTTAATGATGCGTTTTCCATTTCAGGAAAACCCGTGCCAGCACCCAGTGTTTTTCTTAAAAGACACCACTTACAGTGACCTGCGAGCAGTGATAGAATTTGTGTACAATGGTGAGGTGAATGTGACCCAGGGCCAGCTCAGCAGCTTCCTGAAGACCGCCGAAATGCTGCAAGTCAGGGGCCTCACCGGGGACGACGACAAGGTGAGTACTGGCTTGTCACGAGTTGTTGACATCTACCAACTTTTGGCTGCAATTTAACCGCATGTGCTGATTTCTGAAGAGCTCACCCTCCCCACGTGGCATGGTGATGTTCACAGGGTTAGCTCGTGAGCCGATGTAATATAAAAATTACCTTTGGTATTTGATGTAAGAAAACGTTATGAGATGTTATCATCAATTATTCTTTTCAAAGCGCATCAGTGCACAATCCAGCGGACTGTAGAGAGTGTTTTTGCAAGATGAGGTAAATTGCAATCTCGTCCGCAATACCAGACCTCATCGCAACGTATTGTGACGTTGCTGGTGGGGCTCTAAAACAGTGATCTGTGATTGGCCCCGAGGATTCTGGAAGCAACATGGCGCGTTTCCTGCAATGTCTTTGGTAGCGCCAAGCATTGGCGCGACGAATTATGCCGGTAAAGTTAATCTACGCAACAGGAAGGCGTTCGATGCCTATGCTGATGTTATTTCAAGAGAAAGTGTTATGACATGTTGGCTGCTATGCTTTGTGTAACGTTGGCTGACGATGCGCAATAAAGAAAACAAAACATGCCCAATGAGAGCGAGTCGTGCAAATCACTGGAGGATGCCTTAATGATAGTCTTGAGGTGGCCACTTTATTTACATTGTTTTGATGTATATACCGGTAATGTGGTTATGCCACACGTCTGGGAAACCAGTGGTACGGGGTTGGATTCCCCGCGGTGCCTGCCCTCCCTGCGAGAGTGGGAGATAGGCGACGCTGTGTTGCCTCAGCAGCTGAGTGCGTCGTAAAACCCCAGTGACGACGATGGGTGGAGGAAATGGCAGGTAAATCACCATTTGAATGTTGCAGATGTTCAGATGTTTCTGCGAATGGGGTAAACCGGAGCTGCTCTTGCCCTTCGTCCGTGCATTTGTTTTTGTCTAATGCTCGGTTCTCTTCACAGGAGCCAACGCCAGCTCCAGCTCCGCCTGCACCGCGCGTGCTGCCGCCTTCCTCGCGCACCTTCCCGAAGCGTCCGGCGCCGGCGCCGCTGTCCCGTGTGCCTGCTACGCCCACCAAGCGGCCGCTGCCAGCGGCAGCGCCGCTAACGAAGCGCGTGGCGACCGCTCTCGTCCCGGCACCGGCGCCGCCCGCCAACAGCTTCGCGGTCGCACCGGAGGTGGTGTCGGTCGACTCACCGCCCGAAGCGCCGCGGCCGCCCGCCTCGCCGGCCAGCAAGCGGCGCCGCCACTCTGGCTCGAGCGGCGGCGAGGGCCCGGCCACGCCAGCCGCCGCCGAGCCGGTCGCCTCGCCTGCCTCGGCCGTCGCCTCGCCGGCGGCAGCGCCCGCGGACGCGCCGCCGCCGCCGCCACCGCCACCGCCACCGCCGCCGCCGCCGCCGGCGCCGCTGCCGGCCCCGCTGCCGGCGCCGCTGCCGCCGGTGCAGCCGTCACCTGCCGCCGGGCCGCCCGCGCCGACGTCGCTTGCGCAGGAGATAGTGCCGGTGCCGCCGACCGCGGCCGGATACGGACAGGAGTGGCGTGGTGAAAGTGGAGAAGATAGACATTGCGGATGACGACGAGGGCCTGGCGGCGCTCGGTCAGGTGGTCGACTACGAGGGTAGCTACGACTCTGACCAGTCGCTGGGCGCCATCCCCATCTCGGACCCCGGCCAAGGTCAGTCTCGGAGCGGGGCCGCGGTATGGCTGGACGCAAGCTTGTCACCAATTGCTGCTCATTTGTTACGCTCATATCTGGAGTGATGTTTAGAAATGGCATGAATTTCAGGGCATAATCACTGGAGTAAGGGTAACATTTTAGGGCTTTTGAGTTGCTGTAAAGGACATGCATGTTTTAGGGCTGAGAAGCTGCAGCTGGTCTCCTGCCGTTCCTCAACTACGGAATATCATTCGGAGCACATACGGAATGAATATGAATATGCTGCTGGAGCGTTGGGAAAGCAGCAGGGAGCTGGACGGCAGGGTCTAATCCAGATACGTACGAATACAGACAAGCGTGCGTCGCACTTTGGAAAACTGAACGCTCCGGCTTACGACCTGCTCCGCGATTCCTTAGAATTGCGTCGATTCACGCTTTCGCTGTTTCAAACCGGTGCTGCCGACACAACAGTCAGTCTGCCGCATTGGATGCGGTCGGACAGACCCGTGGTGCAGCCGAACCGAGCTGTGACGAGCGTCGGGGTGGTTGTTGCAGGTGGGGCGATGTTCGCGGCAGGCACGTCGGAGGGCAGCGCCGGCACAGGTAGGTCTCCGTCCGCTCGCACCGGGAGAACACTGTCTGCTGTCGGGCTCGTTGCCGGCCAGGGGATGAGCCACGCAAACTCGAACGAAGCGATTGCAAGAGGCAGGCATACTCCGGGCTTTATTTGGGAGCGCTGGGAACGTCCCGATTCGCGTTGGTGCTGGCCAAGGGATCATAGATGTCGGCGCGCCCCAAAACATGGCATTGATACTGTGGTCCGCGGCGACTTTTCGTTCATGTCGTCAAGGCAGTGCTACACAGAATTGATATTCCAGGCTTTGGCTGATCATAGGTCACAGTCGTAGGTGGGAATGCTGGCTGGGTCATCCCCATATTTCACGTGCACCACAATGCCAGCGAAGAAAAGCTTTGCTGTGGGGTAAAGGCCTTTACGGGTAGCATACATTGCCCAATCCACTTCATACCCATCATTTCGTGTCCATGCCCTTTCTATACTCATGCCTAATCTGTTGTGGTCGCACGTCGTTGTTGTGCTCGCATTTTCCTTTCGCATTTTCCGGCTCTGGTTATGAATTATGGAGAAGCTTCAGTGAAGTTTGACCCCGAACGTACGGTTTTGCGTTCATGATTGATGAAGCTAATTAGGCCAAAAAAGCACGAACGTCATCATTTTTCAAGTATATTTCGAAGCATCTACCCAGCTTTAGTAAACGTTCCACCCATGGCAGTACCTATGCCATTGATGGTCACCAAATCAGAGCCCAGCCCAGCCTGCTACCCATTCTATACCATATGGGCACCCGGGGTTTACCCAACCCGCGTAGTCCTTTACTGTGGGACCTTCGATTCGCTTCATTTCGAGTAACATGAGACCTAAGGATATATGATGCGTACTTTCCACGACTCCCGTAGATTAAAGGGAATTGGACTACTGAAAGGTAATTATATTGTGGAAAGGTGTGGCCTCATATATATTTGTCGCTGCCAACCGTTCTGAGTTGAACATCTGGTCAGTCTATCAGAAAATTGGCCCGGAAAAGCTGAAGGAAGAATGCTTTCACCCTGTAGATGGTTAGGGTAAAAGTGCGATAATCAACGTTACGTTGTATTTAGTTTCCTTTCAACTCACAAAACTAGCTAACCTAAAACAGTTCTATCTAAACGTTATGGAAACTTGATCGTAAAAGACGTTGGTGGCGGGAGGTTGACAGATGTTCAGTAAGCTGCACTATGCTGCCGGGATGGATGTGATTCGTGGAGATTACATGGAATTGCGCCAGGCTGTATGTCTGCCTCCTTTGCTTTCCTTCTCAGTATCGATGTCCCACCTCAATGTGGACCGCTCTTATCGCCTTGCCGTGACGTTGATCACACAAGAAATTTAACGAATGAATAAAAAATCCTGAAAATTGCAACATTGAGGCCATTTTTGTGTCTGTCACCTGGTTTCCACTTTAATTATCCTGTTCGTTGACTGGCTCAGAACATGTCAAGAAATAGCTCAGTTCAGCTCGTGGATTTTCAAATGTAGTATTCTGCTGCGCCCTGCCCATAGGGTTTAGTCGGGTGGGGCTGACTTGCCGGAGGAATGTTGCTCAGATTGAGTTCGTGTGGGGCGGTGACTCAGCAGACAGTGTTCTCCCGTCATTCCATGTGTGGTTGTGGGGTGTGTGTACGCTTGTTTTTTGTCGCTGCAACGCTCCCGACAGTTAACAACGTAACGGTAACGTTGCCTGGTAACGTAACGGTACACGATCGCGGCCAGACGTCGATAACGTAACTGGCGGGCCGTTCAGTGTCAGCGCGCTTCGTGGCGTTTCCGGCAGTGGCACAACGCGCGGCGCCGGCACCGATCTGCGTCGTGCTCTAGCTGCAGCCCTACGACTGTGGCTTGTGGAAATTTCGCGCTGCGCTGTGGGCAGTTTTGCGGTCGGCATTTTGAATGGTTTTGTATGATATTGCTCCATCGAGCGGTATTGTTAGAGCAGCCAGAGTACAGACGGTAGAATTGCACGAGACCCACGATGCGTCTGACACTGGATGCCTCGCGTTCGTCTCTGTTTGACTTTGTGGCCAGCTTTTGCTTTGTACAGTGCTACCGTGTGTCTTGAAACAAAACATGTGAAATTAAAACCGCAATTAACCCACTCTCACAAAACGGTAGGCAAAATTTAAATGCGGTGCATTGCAGTCAGCCAGTCCATCCCCTCCCGGCTAGGTTAAGATAGGGCAGCGTTAGGGGCGATAGAGCCCGTTAGGAACAGGCTAGGTGAGGCAGGCAGGGCCGGTTAGGACGCGCGTTTGGGCCGCTCGGCGTGGTGGGAGAGGGGAGATAGGCACCGCGCCGGCCGCGATGTGGCGCCCGCGCGTGCGCGGGTCGCGCCGCCACCGCCGCGGGCGGCGCCGCCACCGCCGCGGGCCGTGCCGCCACCGCCGCGGAGCCGAGCGTCGCCCGGCACTGCCAGACCGGCCCCTGCCCGCAGCCGCACAGGTGAGTCCAGCTGTCTTCTTTGTCACGGCGCCGTCCGCCGCAGGCCGCACTTCGCCATGCCCGGTTGGCGGGCGTGAAGAGCAGCCGGCTCGTGCTGGCCAGGCCCTGTGCGGGCTGCTGTCTCCTCTGGTGTCGTCATGCCGGGGGCCGCCTGCCGGCCGGTGTTGGAGAGTGCTGCAGGCGTGTTGTGGTTAGCGACATGCGTTAGGTAGGAACTACTGAGGCACTGGCCAGCCGCTGACAGCACATGATCATTGGCTGGTCCGGTAATGTAATATGTTTTGCTTTTGAAATCCTCTCGCGGTATGAATGCGTTGCTTATCTCTCAGTATAAATCAGTCAAACGATTGCTACATGTGGCGTTCGGTGTTAAAACCCACTTAAGATCTTCAGGGGATGGATACAGATATGGGGTTCCAGTAAAAGTTATCCAGTGAGGTATCCAGTGAGGTATCCAGTAAAAGTTACATGAAAAATGCAGCTGTCACAAATGTGTTCATTCCCCCATTAGATTGTACCGGGGTTAAGAGGGCGCGTTTTTGCAAATCATGGACCTGATAAAAAACTGGGCGATCTTTTTTATCGCAGGCACTAGTTTTACGTCTCCATTTAATCTCCACAACTTCAGGCAATTGACTCTTCCGTAGGTTATGTTGCTGCCTGACAGGGGCGGGCTAACGCCTTTGCCCATGTCACTTTATATCCCATTGGGTTTGTCATCATGAGGCCATCCAGGTAAACTATAATACCCTCAGCATATAAATCGGGTTTTAAGCTACACATTGCCAGGGTGAAAGCCATTCGTTGGGAAACGTTATAACGGGGCCCACGTACTGGTATAAGGAAGGCGGGAGAATCATGATTTGTCGGCATTGAGAGGTCCCGAAAACCCTGCAGCTTCTATGTGCCAGGAGGCACTGGTTAAAGAATGCAGCTCTTGAATGTCACTCGTGGCCATGAGGTCGGCTAGCAGCGTCGAACCTTTCAAAACGCGTCGCAGTTTCTACCGGACAGCGCCTTACATCATTCTGAGCTCAAAATCCAGTCCATGTCGATCCGAGAATGAAAATTGTGCGTTTTTGGGTGCGAGCAAAGGTGACATAGGTGTTTCCTAAGCATAGGAAACTGGGAATAACCAAGGCGACCCCCTTTCTAAGGGAGATGAACGTAGCTTGTCGTTCATTCACCGGTCTGTTTCGTGATGCAGTTAGGAGGCATATTTCAACGTATTCGTCCCCAGCTTACCTTAGCTGACGCTCATCTGTCAATGGTAACTCGCTATAAAGCACTAGTAACTTGGGTTAACCCATTTGAACGTGGTGGATACCAAACGAGCACACAAAACAAACAACACCTCTCCAATTACCATCAATAATTTCCATAAGGCATGTTAAGTCCGATGTAGCAGAGTACTATGTTATACCGGTAGTACTACAGAGTATTACCGGTATAACAGAGCACTTAAGACCAGTCCAGGCTCCGTCTAACTGCTTACGCACCAGACATCGACAATATGTAAAAAAACATTATCCATACCGTATAGTTAATGATCGCAGTTGACGGTGAATACGGACATGCTACTTACACCTTATGGTCGGTCATCAAGACCGAAGTTCCTGGTGGTGCTAGGTGGGGTCATCGCATTCGCATGTCGGTGTTTTCAGTTCCCCATTCGATTGCAGTTGATGTCTTCTGTTGGAACTGATGTAATTATGGTATTCGCAAATTTGTAATTTCAGTGTTGTGTTTGATGCAGTTAGTGTCACTGGCTGAAACCGAGGTCACATCTTTGCGATGCGAACATACCGGCGAATGGAGGCGAAACATGGCGTGACATCGGTTTTGAACTTGTTTCGGCTGTGTCTGCAACGTGACAAACGGAACAGGTGCTTTGCGAACAGTGACTGGTACGTAAGCCTTGGTGAGTTGCGCAAGTTTATTGTTACTGGTGATGCCGGATACCTCCTTACATGGAATGCACCTTAACGCTTTATCACTTCAGAGGTATGGGCGCCTTTGCTGCGATGTTCCCCGCTCGCATACTGAGCGTCTTTTGTTCCCTGTAATAGTAGTGACCGAACCCCGTTCAGCGTATATAAATATGGCGTTTGGATTGTCTTCTAGAAAAGGAGGTTTCAGTTTTGAGATTGCGTAGTCATGCTGCTCGTTACCAATATTTATGTGAATGCATCGAAACTAGAGCTGAGGGTTAGATTCACAGAATTCAAACATTGGAGTCTTGTAATCCTATAGTCTTAAAATGACGTTCCAAGCAAACTGAGATAAAATTCTGAAAGCTGCACCAGTATGGAATCCCAAACATACCATGGACAAACGATATATGTCCTTGCCAATGCCTCAGCTGGTTAGACCGCCTGCATCGCAACCCACCCACCCATGGCGGGGTGGGCTCTAGTCCAATCCGCCCACGCGTGGCGGGGTGGGTGCGAGTCTCTTTAGGCACTGTCTACTTGTCGTTAGCAGGTATGGCCCGCGGCCGGTGGCAGCAGCTGCACTAGTCACTTATTGAATGTTAAGGGCGCGCCAACTGTATCGGTTATTTGCGCCCATTGCTGTCTGTTTTGCCAAGCTGCTCTGGAGGTCAGCTGGCGGCAGAGGGCAGGACGGAGCGAACCGAGCACTGATCTACGTTAAATCTCCGCCGCGAAACTGTGCCGTTGACCTGTGATTGAACGATGGAATGTCGGGGGTGAGGCCTCGCACAACAAACTGCTCAGCGTAAGGTCTTATCCCAGAAAGTCATTCATTCGTTGTTTTGAAATGACAGCTTCAAATGGATCTTTCCAACGTCGTTCAGAGTGCCCTTCAGATCGCCGGTATCTCCAGCCGTAGGATCCGCCCAAGGGGTTGCGAAAATGACGGGAGCTCTCGCCGTCGAACATTTGTGATGACATTTGCTGTACTTCAACAAATCTGCGTCCGAGGGTGAAAAGCTGTTGTGAACAGTTTTGTTTGGTGTTAATTCGGGCATCCTGTATTTTCCAGTGATATGCTGCACCCGTGGTGCTCGTGCACGTGCGCTGTTGGGAGCAGCGTGTTTTGCGTGGCGGCGGTGACAGATTTCTGGTTTCTGTGCCGGACCCGCGTCTGTATATTTGAGAACGTAAATTGCGCCATAGGTCCTCCCGCATGGTCGCAGGGTATTGTCGCTTGGTGTGTAGAGACGTTTTACTCAAACTGCCGCATACATTTCTGTGGGGTATTGATATCCGCTGCACGCATTTCGCTTCTTAATAGCAAGCCGAACCCCAAAATACGCTGCTGAAATGGAGTTGATATACAACTATATGAAATACGGCGGCCAATACCGTACCAAACCGTGTAAGCCTACATAGATAAATGCGTGCCGAATCCCGGTTACAGGACTTGTGAGCAGAAGCGGAATTAAGATGTTCGCGATATTGGCGGATGTTGAAGCATTCGTTGAACGTTGATGCCCTATTTGACCGAAAGTGATCATGTGCAGCTTGCCGTATTCTGAGGATTTCGGGGATTGTTTATGTTGTAAATATGTCTACATGAAACAAACACACTCAGGCGATCTGCACACAGTTTGTGTTTGGATGCTTTGGTGCAGCTTTTGGGGCTGCGGCATACGACTCAGATGCCGTCTCGGCGTTGGGCATTATGGCACCGCGTCATTGCGCTGTGCCATTCGTTCTGCCACTTATAGATAAGACGCGCGGAAGAATTGAGTTACGCTAAATGCGCGGACTTTGTGGCACGTTTCCACGATTCATTTGATGCATTCCTTCCAGGCCTTTGCCGTTTACGCTATGTAAAGTTCCTCAAGTTGTGAGTTATAACATGGTGTATGCGAGGCTTGCGCGCTTTGGCGACTGCCTTTTCAATGACGGCAATGGTTGAATATTTCTTCGTGGAAAAGCTACTTTTTCGTGGTGTATTTTTCCGCTTGTTAGAAATAAGTAGGATGGTAGAACTTGTGAAAGCAGCTCCAATGCTCACTATGACTGTCACAACAACCCTATCCTTGTTTTGCAGGCAAATAAGTAAAATTTACCTTCTTACCGTTGGAAACAGGTCCGTTGGGTGTGCTCTGGGGTGTCCCGCCTGCACGAAGGCCGTAGGCGGCGACACGTACTGTCAGTGAATGCGCTGTTCTGATCACCGCGCGCCTGGATGGAGTAGTGAAGGGTTGGACCCGAATGCGGGGGTGAACGTCATCGTATGTGCATGCGCACGCGTACCGAAATCGCGAGGATTGTAATATGGGGGAGGGGGGGGGGGGGGCAAAGCTTTCTAATAGTGCTTGCAACTTTTCTCTAGCAAAGAAATTTAGCAAGCAAGATAAGAGATGCAAAAATAGCAAGTTGCCTACGAATTGGTCGATGAAAATGTATGGCTTTGCAGCCTTTCTACAGGTGGTTTACTTAGTGCTCGGTACGTCGGGACAGATTCGCAACTAGTGTTGGCAATGATGTTAGCTATGAATGGATACTTCGAACAAAAAGCAGCCGTTTTTTTCCAAATTCGCCTCATTTTTGTTTGTGTAGCATGTTCTTTGGAGGTGCAGTTTAAACATAAACTTGTAAATTTGTATTCAAGTAATACCGTACTGTTTTCGGGGTCCATCAAATGAGACCTGTTGCTGTTAAGCCGCAGGTTTCCTCCGCTTGGTCCTCCCGCACAAGTTCTGTACATGAACGGTGATGCCCTGTGCGCGCTATGGCATCTGCGCCTGGACCCATAACCGACGTCACGGCCTGATACATGTCCTCCCCCAGCCGTATGGTGCCCTATCAAGCTCTGTTGCAAGGCAGTAGCTGCGTGCGGTGTAACTTTGGTGTCGTTTCCAGCAGTTGTAGGGCGGTGGTCACGGGCCTTTGAGACGTGGCCACGAGTATTTGGAACGGGTCTCGGAACAACTAGGTTGTTTGCATCCATGCCGCCTGCCAGCGCACCCTGGCCTTCCATTTTTGGCCATGCGATCTGTGCTTACAAACTTTTATCGCGTGACCTTACATTCATGCGCATTTTTAAGCCACGCACCACAAATGCCGATGGCCTGGCGAATGGGAATCCCAAACTGGCTTTGCTGCAAGTGTTACGGTGTGTTTGGAGATGGCTGGGTTGCTAGACTTGTTCCTACGATACTCCCTACGTCGATTAGCCACAGGCCCCCGTTTTCGCTTTTGCCACGCATTGACCAGCCACGACAACGAAGTATTTCACCGCTCGTAAAGTCCTTGTGCGAGTAACAGCCTTGTGCGAAAATTTCACTGCCGGGCACGTTCGGTTCTGTTTGCTCGTCGGGCCAGAAATGCGGCACATGAGCAGATGCACGCTGCAATTTTGTCTTGGCGAAGGTTTTAGCGAAAGGGGAGCAGTTGTGCGCTGCATTAAGTTACTCGTTAAACTCGTTAAAGTTGCTGGCTGCCGTGCGGCGCCAGCCGGTGCCGTGTTCGCGCCTCTAACGCCGTGCACGCTGTGCCCAGCCGGCGACCCGGAGGGCGGTGCGCGCCGGCCGCGCTGCCACATGTGCGGCAAGTGCTACGGCAGCCGAGAGGCGCTCAACAACCACATGACGCTGCATAAGGGCCTCACCAACTGCTGGATCTGCGGCAAGTGCTTTGCCACCACCAGCGCGCGCAACAAGCACGTGCGGGTGGTGCACGGAATCGGACATCTGGCCAAGTGAACGTTCTGTGAAAATGACAAAGTTGTCCCATTGTGCGTGAAAATAAACTGGCTAAATAATCCGGGTGATCGACGTGAACAAATGGTCCGAAGTGCAAGCAGGATGTTTCGGAGTTCGCCCATTTCTTTGGTCATCACAGCCAGTATTTGCTCAGGAACATGGCGACATTGCAGGTCAGTATTGTCACTTCTAGGACGGTTGGGCTCCCTTATCCTTTCATGTTATCAGAAGTCTTGATAATGCGGCCTCAATGCCGCGCAAAGCTCTATAAACCGTTCAGGTTTATTGCCCAAACAGATTAAAAGGAGTGTCCCTCCTTTGAGCATATTTAAAAAGCCTACTCAAGTGAAACCATGGGACCAGTAACGTCTCGCAGACTAGGCAGTGCCAGTGCAACGCCGTCTAGTCATATATATATATATATATATATATATATATATATATATATATAAAATCAGTTTTGATTATTTTCGTGTCCAAATTACGCTGTCAACGTTTGTAACAGCACTGCGTTTCTTCAGCGCAGTCACGATCGCCGCCATGACCATCGTCGTGGCACCTCCACTATTTCGGATACAAGAACGTTTGTGGTTGGCCCGGTGGGCGGCAAGGACCTGTTACCGAGAAGCGCGTTGGTTGAAGTTTGAACCTTTACGTCACTATGACCTATGTGATACTCCCATTCCTGAAGCTAAAGTGCGCCTCGTCAAAGAGTGACTGGCGATTGACTGAAGGGACAAATCAGAGCCATAGCACGATGTTTCGTCGAATTCGCTGGATAATAGCTTTATGTTGGCACATTTTTTGCCAGAATAGTGTTTCAAGATTTCGTAGCATTAATGACACAAATATTTTGGGAAATATGTGTGTTGCAAACATTGCACAACACACACGTTGGAAAATTAATGCACATGAAATGTATATTATTATTTTCATAGTTGTGAGCAGGGAGTTTAATGCAATTTCTCCCGTAGGAGCGGCTACTCCAAATCGAGCTGTTAAACCATCCAGGATTCGAGACATTTGAAAATACCGATCAAAAAGTGCACGTCTGATCTGACAATGAGTGAGAAGTACAAAAAGCTCCGTTTAGTTGAGCGGGCTACATACATGCAAGCTACATGCTCCGTTTAGTTGAGCGGGGTGCGGGTTTCGTGGACGACGCGAATCGGAGCGCGGTGCCGGGCTGCGCTTGGTACTCTAGTGTTGACTGAAGTGGCCATCGCGACCACCTCGCTTCACGCGGGGTAGCGCCACTTGTGCCTGGCGTCATTTTAAGGCAGGCTTTGAGCCTTTCAGAAGAACGTTAAGTACGGCGTCGCCGGCGGATGGCCGTATTTTTGTATTTGTGGGCTTTGTGTTACCCAGGATTATATATTTGTCTGCTAGCAAGGCATCAGGGAAGTGAAAAGTATGAACTCGCACATGGCACACGGCAATGCACACGGTAATGCAGACACACACACACACACACACACATACACACACACACACACACACGCACGCACGCACGCACGCACCTACGCACGCACGCACGCACGCACGCAGCAGGTATATATATATATATATATATATATATATATATATATATATACACATGTTTGTATAGTTTTTAATGTCAGGAACACAGTACGAAAATCAGCCTTTGCGAGGTGTATGACGCTTCGACCGTACGCGTGTCAGGCCTGCCACTCATGGAAGGCGTGGATGGGACCGCATGGCGACCGTCCGTTGGTGAAGCGCGACTGGCAGCTGTCGTTGGCCCAGCGGCAGGTCTGTGCACGGCCACCGGCGGAGGGAGCGGCGTCGCGCCCCACACCTGCCAGTTCTGCGGCAAGAGGTACGGCAGCCGCGACGCGCTCGGCCACCACATGGGTCTGCACAGTGGGCGGACCTCCTGCCACCTCTGCGGCAAGTTCTTCAGCACGTGTGGCGTGCGCAATCGACACATGAAATGCGTCCATGGAGTCCAGGTGTGACTCCGGCGCGAGCGGTGCACGGCCGGTTGGACGTGTCATGGGCTGCGGCCGCTCTAATGCAGTGGACGTTTTCCACGCGCCGTTGAAGTCGTTTCTGAAAGAACGGTGTGGCGTGACGGTTCTGTGGTGATTGGGCCGTGCGATAGTATGGCTAGTTGTTTTTCTGGGATACGAAAATACTCGAATGGAGAACTTGTCCAGTGTACTGACCTATCTAGTTGAAGCAAAGTAAAATTGCGTGATCTTCATCGGTTACGTTGTCTTTTCCGAAAAGTGTACATTTCTTCCTTTCTGCACTTCCCTTTCCGAAATAATACATGCAGTGTATGTGAGTGTTGTTGGTGCCGTTCATTGGAAAAGGCTTGAGTCAGAATACATCTCAGTGATGCTATGAGGACTTCGCGATAACCGCTGAGTGTTACCAAGTCGACAAAGATAATTCGCAACATGCCTGAGCGAGGGCCTCAGCAGGTGCCTGCTTCTGCGGTTGTTTATCAGGTCATTAATGCGTCAGTGTCGTCAGAAATTCGCCCAATACTAGGCGCTTGAAATCATGTTTTTTTTTCGATATCATAGCTGGCGCAAAATGACCCTAGAAGTCGACGCGCCCTAAAACCCCAATCATCGATATCATAGCTCGGCATTGGTATGTGGTCATGTAGTTGTTAGTGCTGGGTGTCAGGAAAATCAGAAGTTCAGGATTCGGTTCTTGTTGTGCCCGCCCTTTCTGGCAGTCTGAGAGGCAGGCGATGCAATATAGACTTGGCAGAGGAGTGCGTCGTGCAGCGCCAATATACACACCATACGCGTTACACAAATATTGCATATTTTGGGACTGGTCGTGCTGGTCGATTTTTTCAAATCTCCAGGCTTTCTTGCAACATAACATTTTTTTGCGATATCAACTGCATTAATGGCCGTTGTTTCAACTGCTGCTGCACTGTGTCAACTGCAGATGCGCGGCCGTTGTTTCGTAATGTAAAATACCTCGGGTTTGCCTTATTTGTTTGTTCAGCAAGTTCTTGCGCTTATATTGCAGCTTGCCCTCATCCCCTGGTTTTGCCAATTACTATATTACTGTGAATATCTATGTTGTCGTGAGATCTGTTAACCGCATGCATTGAACTGCTGATATTGTTTGCGTGGCGCTATATTTTCTTTGCTTAAACCTGGGCTTCTGTTCCTTATATAGGTGCTACGCACGGCTCTCAGCATCGAAGCGCGCCGGAGCAGGTACTCGGACACCTGTGTGTGTGTGGGTGGGTGGGTGTGACGGGGGGGGGGGGGGGGGGGTAACAAGCACGGAAATACGATGCGGAACGAATGGATGACGACTCCTGGGCGCAGGGTCTGGTATTTAGCAGTTTATTGGACCAACACATTTTCATGGTTTGTTAGTCATATTCTATGAACGTTTGACCATGAGATATTCTGTACAGGCATTTCATAGGTGGAGCAAGACTATGCAAACATTCAGGGAGGGCATGGACCGCACGTACATGCAAGGCGTCAGGCTTGCCGAAGCGTTTCATCCGTTCAGATCATTTTTCAGAAAACGTCGCATGAACTCTTCCAAATTGTCGACGTCGTCACCCTTTGGCCTCACGCTGCCGCGATAATTTCAGTCTCGCCACCCACATCATGCCGAGGTATTTTTATGGATTGATTGCCGGGCCGAGGAAAAACCGCGGCATTTCCTCGAAGGTGTTGTGTTACGAAACAAGCTGCCGATTGTGTAATTTACCGCCAACAGCGGCGCTGGTCTGACTGCACGCTTGGTGACGATAGTTTGTAGTCTGAACGCCATGCACCTCATCCCTTTAGCCTGCGCACCGTTGGCCATATTTGCATGCATGATGCCGTGCGCTGATCGCAGCCTGTGCGGTTAGATAACGCCGCGGGACGTGGACTGCGCTGTGCCCAATGCGGCCGCGGATACGCCAGCCACAAAGCGCTCTCCAACCACATGGCCGTGCACAGGGGCAAGACGTGGTGCGTTCTCTGCGGTCTTGTGTTCTCGTCGACCAGCAATAGGACCCGACACATGCAGCGCAGGCATCCTCAGTGTTAGCGCCCGACCAGGTTTGTGAATGGCCCTCTCATGCCCAGATGACTTGTGTTTATTGCACGGGGTTCGTTGCATGACGTATGTAGCTGGCGTTTCCCGCGAGACGAACGCAACCAGGGTTCATGACTTGCTGACCTGCGTTCTGCCCATGCACGTTACATGTTTACGGTGTGGGACATCAAACATTGGCTACTGTTTGATATCGCTGAAGGGTACGTGGTCCGCAAGATGCATGGCGTCTCTATGGCGTGGATACATTTAGTATCCATACAGTGTGTACAGCTCAACCGTTTTCGGTAATTATATCAACTCTCCCCATTGCAGATAGCTGCATGACGAAAGCAAAAAAACAAAAGCAAAAACAGAAGAAAAAACGTGACGCCGTTGGATGGATACATCTACATGAATGTATTCATGTTATCCACGTCATTTTCAACCGGCAAACTCATGCAATATTTCAACGTCTTTTTCAGAGGAAGGTGACTCCAGACTGCAGTGCAAGATATGCTTCAAGCGATTTCGATCTCAATCCTCCTGGTACCAGCACCGTCGGACACATGAAGGCGTCACCAACTGTCCAGTGTGCGGCCGCTTTCTCAGCCGGGTGTTCGATGTGCGGCGCCACATGCTGTTGATACATCATATTCCCAAGGATCAGATCGATTCGCTCCTGTCGGGCTGTTGATTGGGAGGAGTGTCTGGCAAAGCGTGCCATGCTCGTCGTGCTGTGAGCTTCATTGTGAATTGTACGTATATTTTTGATGTTTTTGAATGGAAAGGGACATAAATAAACGTCGTGCAGCTCCTTGCTTTGCTCTGATACAAGGCAGTTTGGGGAGCCTTGGGCTTTGAACCGCAGTTCATGGGGTAGGCTGCCAGTATGCTACGATTGTCTTGATTCCACGTCTGAGTACACCTGCGTTCGTAGTCCGGTGAGTTTGAAATATTTTTCATTTTGATCTGAGCATGCCTGGTGGCTCCGGATAGTGCTGCCACCAATCACAGCCGAGGCATGCAGCTGCTGCCACCAATCACAGCGGCGGCTACTGCGGCCACCAATCGCAGCCGAGGCATGCAGCTGCTGCGGTCACTAGTGCCGCTCATGTAGTGACTATCGAGCTGGGCAGTGCTGAGAGCTCAAGACCAAGTTCCTCAGGTCCAGTGCACTGCAGACCGCCTGAGGGTTTAAGACCAAGATGTCTCAGGTCCAGTGCACTGCAGACCGCGCTTGCCACGCCAGATTAGTGTGTAACGTTTGAAATAAAACCATAACCACGCACACATATTGTAACGTTCAGTTTGATTTGCGTAGAACTCGTCATTTGTGAACAGTGACAATGATGTTACTGATTCCATGCGTCTTTGAATTAAAAAACGAATCAAACCGCTTTTTCGTCCGTCCGCGGTGTGTCAAAATCCGGAAAAAACCACGGGCTTTCGTAGCATGTCGCTAGTAGATTCCTCTTGTAAAGGTAGGAAGCTTCGGTATACGTTATCTCCAGTTCAAATCCATTGAACCTAAGTTTTACTCACGCGCAAAATACTTGCCCACTCTCCCGTCAGACTCCAACACCACATACTACTGATGGTCAAAAACGAACCTGCTGATGCCTAGACGCAGTTTTGGCAATCACGAAGGTGGTATTGAATCTATTCACTTTAGGCGTGGCTGCACAACTTCGCTGAAATGTTATGGCAGGGGCTCTGCGTTTTCCGGCAGTGACGGGCAGATGCATTCACATAGCTATCCGTTTCCAACTCGAATACCGCATTACACGAAACAACCAGCTATGACCACCAATACCGCCTATATATGGCCACGCTCCGGCCATTTCTGCCCATTGACTGGCCCACTCCTCGTCTTTTAGGCGCGGAGTTCGCATGCTCGATATGTCACAGAAGTTTCCAATCGAAATCGTCGTGGTACGCGCACCGCGGCACGCACGCGGGCCAGACGACGTGCCCCGTGTGCGGCAAGTTCCTCAGTCGTCTGGCCGACGTGCGCCGCCACATGAACCTGCAGCACAACCTGGCCAGGGACGCCGTCAGTGCGATGCTGGCCCGGCGCACCTGACGCAACTGTGAGTCGGGCCACGGCCGCCGCCGCCGCCGCCGCCGCCGCCGCCGTCGCCGGGGCGGGGCGTCGCACGCGGCGCGGCTCGAGCAGGGCCAGTGTGCGTCCAGGTCTGGTGGCTCCGGCCAGGAGGTCGCGTTGGGTGTCAGGTTTCCTGCGCTGCAGGCTTTGTTGGGATGAGCAGGAGCCGGGGCATCGGCGCACTATCACGGTGGAAGAGGCAGGCCTGCCGATGAGGTTTACGGCTGCGAGTCGCGGCATCTACTATCGCGGCAGCTGCCGCGTACCTTTATGCTCTTATTGCTTGGGTCTGGCTTTGCGTATTGCGTGATCTGTCTGCGCCCGAGTGCGGAACTGCTAAAATGGGGACACGCCTAATATTCAGTTAGTGGTATTGAACCTCGTCGACAAACACTATGTCCCGACGATGTGCTATACGCCCAACTGGACATGCTTGCGGAACCAGTCCCTTCCCAGAAAGCATACGTCTCGAAGTTTAAGTTTAGGGGGCAGTTAAGAGCAGGTGTCAACGGTGTATGATGCCGTGGGTGATGTCTCCTGCCCCGGGCCGTTCGCCTCCCGCCGGACGGGCCCCAGGCGCCGCCTGTGACCTGCACGTCCTCCCGACAGCGCCCGACTTCCGTTGCGGCCGGTGCGCGGCCGCGTTCCGCAGCTACGAGTCGCTGCTGCACCACCACAAGACGCACGAAGGCCTGACGCGGTGCCCGCTGTGCGACACGTGCCTCAACCGGGTATCGGACCTGCGCCGCCACATGGGCCGCGTGCACAAGCTGGAGCGGCCTCAGGTGGCCGCCATGCTGGGGCGGCGCGGCGACTGGCCGGCCGCCGCGCCGCCGATCTGATGACAGCCAGGGCCCGCCGCCTGTGCCACTTCTGCGGGCTCCTCCTGCCAGACGTTGGTGATACGTCTGCGGACGTGTATTTGATTTTGGTTGCTAGGGCTGTGGGGTGCCATGGGGCTCGCAGAAGATCCTCTTATATTTTAACCACTTCGGTCATTAGTCACACGGATTGTGTTTGACATGTGGTGGTGTTGTCGCGCCTGGAGAAGAAATTGTGCCTGGATCCTGGCTTCATTGGAGCGCTCGGAGTTTTACTCTTCATTATTAGCGTTTGGAATGTGCCACATGTCAGACATGCTTTGGACTCATGATATTGTGCGACGTCCGATCCTATTGTCAGTTCATTTGGCCTTCACGTCTTAAGCTAGTATGATTTTAAGGACCGTGGACTTGACGTGGTACACGTTTTATCGTGTACTCCGCGCACTTACGTGCTTCTGATGTTATCTCAAAGAAGTGTAGACGAGAGACATTCACAGAATGGTTGCCGCTGCATATCAAGCAATGTCGCGTTGCTTCACGTCCAGTCTCGGTTTGGCCCTGATTGGTCGATCGGTTGAGCGTCTGCCAATCGACCGCCGGTGTTTGTCCTTCATAGATATATTATGATCTGGCTCGTGCAAAAAGTATATATTTGTGAAGGTGGATGGTTGTGACGAAGAGAGCTTGGATTGTTCGAAGGCCGTGGCATGTAGTGCATTCTGCAATTATTGGGAGCGGCCATCCCCATGACAGTTTTGAGGAATACTGAAAATAAAATGGATTTGTTGTTGCTGGATTTTGCATTAATGCAGCGATGCATCAAAGTGTGGCTCCTTTTTCTTTAACAGATAACACCTTTTCACACCCTCCGCAGTTCATGTAAAAAAGGCGTGCACCCCAAAGCCTGACAAGCTTGGCGTTCTAACTTGGCACTGATGTCATGAATGCGCGCCTGTACAAAATCGTTTTATGTTATCTGCCACAGACGCGTGTTCTGGGCTTGTCAGGCCCGGGACGGCGCAGAGATGTGAACAGCTCGGGAGGGTGGGTGGCGCTGTGTCCACGCGCTGTTCCGCGACATTCCCTGCTCACGTCATGCACACCCCTTTGTGGGGCGCCAGGGGTTACGGCCATGGTCTTGGACGTGATTTAAATCCGACACCATCCGCGCAGAAGTCCAAATAGGCACCAACGGACGGCTACTGTGACTGTTCCGAAAGAAGCGCGATCCGTGAAACGTCCTCTGTGATCCCCGGCTGGGCTGCTTATTTTTGCATTGCTTGCCCGTAGTCTCAGTGTAGTGCATGCTTCATGGACATTATGATTTTGGCCGATTCATGGGTGTATGGACTGAGTGCAAAATGCAGAAACGATAGACGGTGGGATTGGTTGTCATTTGCTGACAATGATGCTATGGATGCTATGGATGCTATGGATGTTTGACGTCGCAAAAAAACTATAAAGAGATACACGCAAATCATGCTACCAATGTGCATTGTTCATCTAAGTCGGTTGCACCTCCTGAAGATCATTTGCCTTTTTGTGCTTAAAATGAACAGGACATTGTTCGCCCAAAAGACAGCTTTTCAACACCAACAACTCATAAGCAACTCAGATATTGGCCTACTCACCTATACCTCCCGTCGTGGTGCTGAAGCCTCAAATACCTACAATTAAAACACCACTGCCTTGAATTCATTCCCGTAGGATCCGTGTTTACGTCCCTGCTTCTACAGAGTTTACAGTAGGACTAACTGCAGAATTATTGCAGGAGAAAGTGCAAGCTCCTGCCAAGGAGTTGTTGAATTTATTTATATGTGTCGAAACTGTCTACTTGCTTAAAAAAGCCTTTCGTTCGTGCTGTGTGTGTGGGGGAGGGGGGTACTCAACCCCTCGAATGTTTTTTTTGCAACCGCATTTCTATGCAACTTTCAGAGCCAAGGAATAGTACGATAGCGATGCGCTCCACAGCGCTCTACGCTTGTGCGCGTGGCTCAAAATGCTTTTGGCCACCCCTCAGCATGAGCACGTCACCGTTTTGAGGACTGAAATGCACCACACGACTGGCTGCTTCGACGGCATGACGCCGCTGGTGGCCGCGAGGAACGGGCCTGGATGCACTGAGTACACTGAGCTCACCAGACGGCTCTGGCAGACGAGCGGCACAACAGCCGGCCGGCCGCCCGCCTGCCCCGCTCACTAGGCCGCTGTTGTCTTGCAGGTGTGCCGTGGCCGGCGGCCGGCGGCCCAGCCCTGTGCCGCGTGTGCCAGCGCCCGGCGCCGGCCGGCCGCCGCTGCCGTTTCTGCGGCGCCTCGCTCAAGCCGCGCCGCACGCTCGACATGCTGCAGCAGTACACGGAGCGCGCCACGCAGGCTCTCGAGACGGGCAGCATCTACCGACAGGTGTTCTGGAATTGGTGACGCGGCCGCTGCCGCTGGTGACACGTCGGTGCTGGTGGTGCGGCTGGTGGAGCTGGTGGCGATCGAATGGTGTTACCACCAGCGAGTGCCAGTCGCGGAACAGCCGGGACTGCGGCATGGGAGGCTCTGCATTGCTCGTGAAGTGTGTGTTTTTATGTGCGAGCAACGTGTGGTTTACTAATACACCGTCAGCGACTCGTTAATATGTTGATTTTTTTTTCGATGGTACGCAGACGATGACGAAGACAAATGATGATGGCATCATTTTTATAGCAGAAGCCGAGCGAGGTGCTGCCGGCGTTTATACCCGTTAATAGTCGTTAGTTGGTGGTTATTTACCTTCGCTCAGAAATATGTTGAGGTGAAGTAATTGCGGATGCCGGAGAGTGAGCCTGAGAAATTTGTTGCCTGAAATGCGGAAGGGAGAGAATGGGTCCCGTTGCTCTCCCACCAGCAGGCATCGCCATGTATATGGAAAAGGCAACTCCGCCCTGAACCAGTGTCTCTTTGTAGTTCAGGCATGCCAGCAGTTTTTGAGAGCGCGTCGGAATTACAACGTCGATTTTCATGAAATGCTTGGAAGGACGGTCATTCTTTGTGATACCGTTTTCAAAAGTAATGGAGGTCAATTTCTGTCAGCTAGCTGGTACAATCAGTACGGGCTGCTCTGTGGAGGGAATGTTGTGCATTTTGCCTTCGTGGCACTGGTGAAATTGATCAAACAACAAGCAAATAACTTGCATCTGCACCACTGGTAAAAGCGTTAATCACTTGGTAACTTTGTTCCAGAATACAGGCATCGAGCGTGGAGCGAACTGGCTTGGCAGTGCGATCAGTGCAGCAAGAAATTTGTGCGTAAATCTGCCCTTTGCGCCCACAAGAAAGTGCACACTGGAGAAACCACGTGCCAAGTATGCCAAAAAGTGTTCTCGAATAAAACGAACCTGAAAATACATGGGGAAACCATTCATCGCGCTGTTAGCCGCCCTTAGTTGTTTCATCGGCGGGCGGACGTCAGGTGCTGCTCTAAGACATCTGACGGCAAAGCCTCACCTGTGTCGCTCAGCATGCAACTCGGTGTTGGTGATGCATTCGCGTGTTTGTCAGTGCTTCTCCCTGTGTGAAAGAGGCTGATGTGTGAGGCCGTGAAAAGCCGCGGGTGCAATGCGAATGTGTACATTCTGTGTTCTGTCAACCCCCGTGCAGCTGTGCCATCGACGAATACAGTCTTACGCTGATTTGGGTGTGTTGCTGTTGGCATAGACGTGGAACTGGGAGGTAAATGACGGTCGATCGCCGAAGCGGCGGTGTGCGGACAGTGCATCGGTGGTGAGCGCGGACGTGCGTTACACTCGCAGCGCCGTCTATCGTTGCATGGTCTTGCGCCGAACGCTGGCTAACCCGCCGTGTTACATAGCGTGCTGTTCGGGGCCAGCGAGACGCCCGATATGCGGTTTTTGAAACCTTTTTTCGAAATCCGTTCGGAGGTGGGTACGACTACTGCGTGAGATATAACGGAGTGTGGCAAAATTCCTGGATATAACACAACCACGTTGAAACCAGCACGCCCGTGTATCACCCAGCCTGCTCCACAGACCAGGCTCTCGGAATAAGCGTGACGTCATGATGTCTGCGCCATAGTTATGCCAGCAATATCACATCCAGAATACGTTGTGCATTACGCAATGTGTTCTGTCGGGCAATGGCGGACATTTCGTTCCCACACCGTCCGCATTTTCATGGGTATAACGCGGACAACGAAGTGCCGGGATGGCGACATGGGACTGCTGTAACATCAGACGAGGGACGGACAGATAGAAGCAGCGTCCTGTTGCCCTCGCTGTCAAAGTGGTCCGCCGCGTATGGCTGCTTCAGCCCAGAGCGCAGTAGACGCTAATGATGACGAGTGGGAGCAGTTCGACGTTGCAACATCCGACTCACGCAAACGGTGATAAATGTTTTCCATTGCACGGAGACGCGTTTTCTTTTAGCGAGAGGGTTGAGGTGGTCTTGAAGGGTGTGGCACACGCGAGGGGTGGTTCCTTTCAACGAACGCTCCGCGTGGTTGTGATTGGTGCCAGTGGAGGCGGTCGGCCAGGTCAAAACTTTGTTTTTTATTATCAAATTCGTGAACTGTATCAGTCCATATCAGCAGGGGAGGCATTGAGCTCCTGGTTTTGGCGTTGAGTGCGGAGTACTTATGCGGACAATAAATGACGTGCATTATGCCTGAAGAGATTGGTTGAAGATGTGTTCTAGCAAATACTGATTCAATTATCAAAATTGAAAATCGGTTTTCGCTACATGGCCTAGAATGGCCTAGGCCTAGATGACGTCATTTAACCAGTACCTCTTGATATATTGGAGGTCGATTATTGCCATGATATGAAGCCATAACTCACGAAGTGACCATGTCAGGCCACAAATGCATTGCCTTGGTACACGACTTTACTGAGAATCCTCGATGCCGGAGTGGACTTAGCATGTTTGAAGCTGATCTTATTTTGGCAATGGAATGCACCACAAGTATTTAAAGGGTTGACCCTATAGGGACCTAAGCCATGGAACAAAGTTGCGGCCTACGACGCCTCGTTCCGCAAGTCGCAAATTTTTCAGCCACAAGTCACGACGGGTGATAACTGTATTTTTACGATGCCGGGCGGGAAGCAATAACAATAACACCTTTGACGCTGGAACCAGCATTTTTAATCAGCACATACTGCATAAATGTAGGAAGTAAAGGGGGTCATACCTCGTGTGACGAGAACCCCCGCCAGGCCGCTCTGTCACCTGCGCCAGTAATTTCCGTGTCTTTGCAGATAAACATCGCCCTTGGTTCTCCATGAAATTGAAAGAAGCTGGCAGCTACCGGTGCACACAGTGCGACCGCTCCTACACCCACTCGTCCGGGCTGGTTAACCACATGGAGATGCACCGCGGCGAGACTAAGTGTGATTTCTGTTCCCGGGTCTATGCCACGAAGGGTTCGCTGAAAAACCACATCGAAATGGTTCATTTCAAGAATGGACAACCTCGACAGTCGTCCGACTAAGCGAGTGGGGTGTAGTAAACTCAGCACAGGCGCCAAAATGCTGTTTTTTTGGGGGGGGGGGCGAGTGGGTGAGGGCTGAGTGGTGTGGGCGTGGGGAGAGAGGGAGTGGCGCCACGTCGCCGTGGGCATTTACATGCTGGCGGATCTTGCCAGTCCTGGCGCCACCAACGCGCTATAGATGACTTCGTAGGAAGGACCGCGTAAACATGTTCATGGTGAAGCGGCTCGCGTGCATGTTACCCTGGAGGACGCTGGTGTGATCAGTGTAATCTTAGGGGCTTGTTTTGTGCGACATTTAGAGTTACCATTTGCCCAAGCCCTGCTGTGACCTTACACATTTACCTGCACTCCTCAAGTCAGCCCACTACCGGTGAACGTAGCAATGTTGAAGGGGGAGATATTACAAAACGCGTGTATTTGTGATTTGTCTAAGTGATTATTAGTAGTAAGATGTGCAGTTGTCATTCATGCGAGACCGTTGACTGGCGCACACATGAATTGAAACGTGATTAACGTGTATAAAGCTTATTAGCTCGGAAAGCTTGTCCAGTTTTATTTGCGGCGTTTACGTCGGCGAGTGTGTTGCATGGCGTTCATTTGTTATGGGTACGTTTACCACCGGCGTGGATGCACAGGTGGGTCGTGTTAATCAATTGACATTTATGTGAGCGCGAGCCACGCACGGCGCAGGTGTTGTGGCGCAGGGCGCTGAGGCCCCTGTTTGTGTGGAAACAATCATTGGCCGCAGCTTGCTAAGCGGATCAGCTTCGTCCGGGTCATCCACATCAATATACCGGCGCACGGCATCTGCCCAGTTTTTCCGTCATCATCCCTATGTGGTACGGCAACCAGCAACTGCTATTCCTGTTGGGTCAGCGATGTGCTGTTCACTCCTGACGACACGAACGCACCGCACCCCGACAAAGTGTCGTGTTGACATGTGAAGTGTCATTTGGTTCGAAGACTCCCAGGAGAATGGCGGGTAGCATCACGTGCAGTTTTCGGGGTGTGGCCCCCTGAAAAGAATGCATAGCTATATGCGTAGGCAGTTGCTTCATGTTCCCGGATCCAGGTGATCCCTTTTGTCAGCGGCTGGCTTTTACGGTGCAGCATTTTGCTAACTTTGACTGATTTGGTCCATGTGGAAGACTTTGATGAATATCATGTGCAATCATAGCGAAATTGGTTAAAAGGTGCCTTGACTCGTGGGGAGTATTTTTGCCGGTCTGCCTGTTTGGAACACATTTTCTTTTCACTCTAGAATATTTGCCTTTGCCAAAAACTTTTAGTGGGTTCATACCATTTGAGTTGGAAATATCTTGATTTAAGCCATAGACCTGTATTTGGCGAGCCAAGTCCTTTGCTATGGAAGATGACGGCATAAGTCCTTACACAGACACGGTTTTCATGTGGTAACTTATAACTCCGACATTGAACTTCCTTGTTTCGTCAGGACAGCCTCTATGACCCAGAATCCTCTTTTTCAGGGCGGCAGTATGTGTCAAACGAACTGGAGGAGAGACCAGCCCAGTTCAAGTGCGGATTGTGCAGTTTGACATACACTCGTGCTAGTGGTTTGAAGGAGCACTTGGCTATGCATCGCGGCGAAACGAGGTGTCCGCACTGTGCGGCCATCTACTCGACCAAAAATAGCTTGAAACGACACGTTTTGTTTTCTCATTCGAAGCGATAGTTCTCGGCGGACTGCGTCGCTAGTTTCGTGTTTCACGTCAGGATTGACTGCATATTTTCTCGTTCTACCTTTGTGTGAGAGGGCGCTGACAAAAACGATGCAGAAACGGTATGCATGTACACCACGTTGCCAGGACGGTGTCGTGGCAGCTTTCCTTGTGCATTTCTTACATTTGCAATACACGAACAACTTGGCCCACTTATGGCTCTCTTCCTTATGATAATTGCGCTTCAATTTGCGACACTGCACTCTGTCTTTGCTACAGTAAAATACTTGTTGATTTCGAACATCCGTAGCAGTCGTTCTTGTGAGTCAGCATATTCGTACCTTCACTGTGTTTTCTGTCCACGATATTTTTGAACGTTTCGCGCCAGGAATCGGGACAAGCAAAATGGATGACTGTTGTGCAGCACATCGCACTGTCATGGTTGTCGTGAGTTGAATACGGAAGGCCGTCGTTATCTCGTAGCCCATGTGACGCGGTGCGACATATGGCACATCTCATGGCAGATTTCGGTGCCGGCCAACGTACCCTTCGGTTGGGTTTATATCTACGCCTATGCATACGTGGGAAGGGATCACCCGTCAACACCAACAAGGCTGCTGCAAGGGACTTCGCCCGTGGTCGCGATGTGGTACCTGTATCGCCAGACGACGATATCGTAGCAACATTCCTTTCATTCCGCGCGGAAACGACAATTTTTTTTGCGAATTGCTTCTGAGAGTGCGGCAGCAGCTCGAATGGATTTCGAGAACGGTGAGCGCGAAGTGTGAGCTAAGCACCTCCGGCCGGCCGACACTCGTTTCAGGAGCTGACCTTGCAACGGCCTATCACAGCTTAGAAGTCAGCGACCACGTGGTCTCTTAGACAAAGGTGTTGCACCTTCGCCAACGGAAGCCGGTAGAAAGGGGCGTGATGGCGAGTGGTTAGCGCATGGGACACCCACGTGGGGACCCCGGCATTGAATCCCAGTTGCGCCTACCTGAGCGCTGTCGTCAATGCAGTCGCTAGTGCTCCGCAAGAGGAGTGTGGCGACGTGCGTCACGTTCGCTTTTTGATAACAAAGCAAAAAGGAGGTCATTGGAAAGCCATAGATGTGGTATACTTACGTCGCCGGAGTTGGCCGGAGCCACAGTCAGCCAGTTTCCAAGCGATGTGTTTTGTGATTAGCGTGCGGACGCTACGTAAAGGAACGTCGTGCTTGTTAACTTTTATAACTGCTATTTTTAACGCACCGACAGTTTAAGCTGGATTGGTTGTTAAAGATGTGGGACTTAACTATCTGGTCTTGCATCTATTTGGTCTTGTATCTTGAAACATAAAGGCCATCATCTTCGCCACACTCTGTTGTGAACTTGGAGTCAGTTGGGCTCGACATGATGGCGGTGTCGAAACGCCCGAAAGCTCCAATAACCAGCCAAAACCGCAGCCAGTGAAGTTTTTCCAAGCGGAAATCGAACCCAGGCCTCTGGATCTCGTCTTGGCGTGCAGGCCCCCCCCCCCCCCCCCCCCCTGCCCTTGCGCACATCAGCACCCGACCAGCCACCACCTGGTGCTGCGCTGGCGCCTGGATGAAACGTCGCGGCCTGCAGACACGCCGGCGAGCGCCGCCCGGCGCGTCGACGACTGACCCACGGCGTGCCCCTTTTCAGGTGGCGCCGCCGCGGCGAGGGTCGGGTGCGCGCTGCCGGGTTCCGCTAGCCCCGGAGCGGTCTGTCCCGTTTGCGGCAAGGCCTTCCGCTGGCCGCAGGGCATGTGGAACCACATGGAGCTGCACCGGGGGCTCACGGCCTGCGCCGTTTGTCAAAAGAGTTTTTCCACGCGACATAACCTGCGCCTGCATATCAAGCGAATGCACCGCCCGGCTGATACGTAGTGCCGGCTGAAATAGGTACTCGTCGGATGGATGTTGGCAGTTGGTAGGACCAGGGAGAGGCGCAAATAAGCCTGAATTGCGTCTTGCCCTCTTTTTCAAATTTCTCGTTCTCGTTTGTTTTTTTGTAATAACGCCTGCAGCCAGGCAAACATGTGCTGATTACAGCATCGTTTGCTTGTGGACAAGCGGAGCGGCCGGGTGAGAAATTATGGTGAAGATGTATTAATGCTGTGGTAACGTGATTTAATTGCGATTAAAAGGGGTTAAACTGTCGCTGTGACTTCTGCGACTGGCAACGTCTTTGTGCGGCACGCGTTTAACTGTGCTCTCTATTGTATATTTTGTGTCACGGAGTGCACAAAAAGCAGAGCGTTATGAAATGTTTCCGACACAGTTTTAGCGCACACGTGTGCTTTTTAGTCTACTTCAATAACTTATTTGCTATGCCGTTACGCCTCAAGTTCTCAGCACACATCTGCATAAAAATGTTGCAAAGCCTTTTGAAACAGTTTTTCTTTTGCAAAATCATCACGTTAACGACTGGGATGTGCTCACTAGAAGCGCGTTTCGCCTATTTGACACCGATCGCGGACGGCGCGTCTTGTACCCATTCCACTTGCAGCGTTCAACAGGCGGACCGGCGGGCAGCGGTGGCGGTGCTCGTTCACCGGCTGTCCTGTTTCCAGGTGGGGCGTGGTACGTGGGCAAGCCGTGCGCCCTGTGCGGCCGGCCATTCTTCTCCCGCTCCAGTTTCAAGCAGCACAAGGCGCTGCACCGCGGCGAGACCACGTGCCACGTGTGCGGCAAGGTTTTTGGCCAGAAGCTGGGACTGAAGCGGCACTTTCGCAGGGTGCACGCGCTCGAGCTGTGATCGGTGCGTCGCGCCTGGGCCGAGTGGTGACCTCATGGTTCTGAGCTGGGGTGGGTGACTGCGGTGGCGGCTGAGTGCGATGACGAACGCTCTTTACGGGCCCGTGCTGAACGGTGTGATAGAAAGTGAATGCATTGGTGGACAGAAAGGAAGCTGGTGTTACAGTAGCCGCGATGCGCTTTGGTAGCAGGCATAACTGTTCGGTAAGAGCGAAACTGACTCATGCTTTTCCTCCCCCCGCAACTCAAATGTTTTCTCGACATAGTTATGTATGCGGTATTAGCGCACTACACCCCACCACATTCCGTTGTTCTCTGATGCGCACCATGTGTGTGTGTTCACAGGTCCTCTGGGACTGTGCGGCACTCAATACATCCCATGCACATGCCGGTTGTTTCAACATATGTTTGGAAGACAGTCTCATGAACAGGAGTGTGTGTGGTGTAGTGCATGGCTTACAGGTGATGGTACTGCTCAAGAGGTGCGGTTGGAGAGGTCGGCGCTGTTTTGTAGACTGATGAATGAAGAACAAAGCTGATGCCTTGTTTTCCGCGTTCGAAGGTTCACATTTCCCTTGAATGCATCCCAGTGCCAATGTGCGGTGCAAACCGATATGTTAGCTGAGAATCGCGAAAGACAGATATGAGACCCAATGGTAGGATGCAGAAATGATGGCTTAAACAATTTAAGATCTAAAACAAACGGTTTTAACAGTGTGAACGAGTGGTGCAAACTGAAGGAATGGAAGCGCCATTACGAACCACATATTTTCGCAAAGATGATGCGCGTCCCACCGTGGACCAAGTGCCAGGCGGTGACGAAGCGGATCCCGTTATTTTCAGGTGACGAGTGGTACCCCGGCAAGAGGTGCTCCATATGCCAACGGTCGTTCTCCTGTCTCTCCACGTACACCCATCATAAGGCTATGCACCGCGGCGAAACCACTTGTCCCATTTGTAGGAAGGTTCTTAGCCAGAAGGGCAGCCTCAGCAGGCACATGGCCAAACTTCACGCGGGCTCGCAATGAGCTGCTCACTGGCGCTTCGGGGTAAGGAATGGCTGCTCGTTGTCTCTTGTTGATCTCTGCTAGGCTGTATTTACAACGTTGTGCCCGGCGACAGCGTTAGCTCGCAATTGTTGCCTGGAGATTCGGCCAACGTCTAGTCTTCTGAAGTGATTTCGTCTGTTGAATGATATCTGGGCTTCGGTCTCCGCCAATAACATTGACAACAAACGTGATCGCTTTTAATCTTGCGATTGCGCTGTCACGTTTACGAATAGTCTCTCCAGTTAATCGTCACTGGCTGCTAAAGTAGAGGGGTCGCCTCTGTGCCTAGAGAGTGCTCTCAGTTTGCTTCATCCGAAGCGTCGTATGGATACCTGCGTGTCCAGCGTGTGATCGCGTCATGTATGGGTACCTGCGTGTCCAGCGTGTGATCACGTCATGTATGGGTACCTGCGTGTCCAGCGTGTGATCACGTCATGTATGGGTGCCTGCGTGGCCAGCGTGTGATCACGTCAGGTTTGCGGTGTGGCTTACCTTACTTAAATGTCTCGTCTGCAGTAGCATTTAAGACACACGTTTTCAAGTAACCTATTGAACGCCCAATGGTCCGTTAGCAATCGACCGTTTGGTGGTTTGGACTTTTGACGTGCAGTGCACGAAGTTGGATTCATTATATCTAGACCCTAGAACAGGTCTGCTACGATTTGTCTTTGTGACACAACTTTCCCTTCTGATTTCAGTGTGGTATCCCGGCAAAGAATGTGATGTCTGCGGTCGCCAATTCTTCGCACCGTCAACGTACAGAAATCATCAGGCTCTGCACCGCGGCGAGACCACGTGCGCAATCTGCAACAGAGTGTTTAGCCAGAAGGGACATTTGAAGACACACATGAGAAGGGCACATGACAGGGAGCATAGTCGCAGCGCCGATGCCGAGCTGTAGGCTGTTGTTGAAGCCAGCTCGTGCTGCTCTCGATCTGCTCAGTGGAGCACCGACGTCGGTGAGGTCGTGATGGAGGGTTGCTGGTGCTCACTTTATTGTTATGACCCTTGTTGGATGGGTATTGGGCCAGTGTTGTGCATCAGTTTGTGTTCATATGCATCTGAATTCTCTGTGTCTGGCAGCCTTGGCGATTTGTTTGAAGGCTTGTCAAATTCAGCTGTTTTACTGCGGCATGACTAGTTGAGGCGCTTGTTTGTGGGAGGCGCAGGGGAGGGGGCGAAGGGACACAGACTATAGTGTTGTTGCGTTCTATGGACTAGACCATCGGTCTTATTTTCTCCCATTCCTTTCTCGCGTTGCAGGTCTTTGCTGTATGCCGTAAAGCGTGCATTTTCGTCCGAGAGAAATACAGGGCAAAATAAAGTGTGTAAAAAATGCAGCGTCTTAATTTATCCTCGTCATCGGAAGTTAACTGACACTGTCATCGGCCAAAATACTTCATTTTCCCTCTTCCCGAACGCTTCATTTACACAGCTCATTGGAAAAGGGAACAATCGTGTTCAGGGCCTAAATCCAGACACGGATCGCTTCAGACGCACCTGGAGCTGTGACCAAAAAAATAGATGAACTAAATGTAATCTAGACATGTCCGGCTTACGTAAGGCATCTCCATACCTTTTATCCTTGCAGACGGTTGACTCCATGGAGATAAATCGCTCCGAAGTTGACTGTAAGATAAGTTCACTTTTTGGCGAAGTTATCCTGCACGATTGATTTACAAACCACAAGTCGTGTTTTTGGTTTATTTGTAGTTTTGTGTTTGGTTTTTAACACGGATAACCGTAATTGATCTGTTTATTATAAAATGGGTGAAGTAGACATTACTGAAGTTCAGCTTCAGTTATAAACCACGAACGGGTCTGGATCGTTTTAAACTCCCGGTTATCCTAAAAATACTGATTTCCGCAAGCTGCGAACATAAACCTGCGTATTCCACGTTACGCAGATCGTGTCAAGTATTTGCTTCATGCAATTCAGGAAGCTCTTCATGACGACAATTGCGGCTGTGTGTGTACTGCTAAGTAAGTACACAGACAGGATCTGAATCACTCGACAACTTCTTGCGTCACGTTTTGATAGTTCCCTGTCCATGGACACAGATCCCAGTGCCTGTCGAAAGGAAGAACACGCTAAGATGGATAATGAAAGCATTCCTGGATCTGGTGACACGATGCGAATATGCTGTCTGCATTAGAATCTAAGTGGAAACAGAAGTTCCTGAGGTAGATACTTCCCATTTAACAGTTAATAGATTAAACACACAAATGTAATGGTTTTTGGAAGACGATATTAACGGGTGCTTCTTTGTTTGAGCTGCGAACTACCATTTTGCACACTAACGACTAACCGTCTTATTTTGAACAAATGTGAGGTTTACTGGTAAAGTATTGCGGGGACCTCATCTCGTGGGAGCAGACACATCTTTTTGTGAGGTTTTGATTAACTGACAGGGAATTGGTTCTCTCAGCTGGAATGAGAGCCAGCGCAGTCCTTGGCCAGGAGGGCACGCGCCGGCTATGATTCAGCCATGGCGACATTATAAGCCTTGGCCATGCCCTGTGTTCATTTGTGTTCCATTCGTTCAGGTGGCCCTTGGTTTCCGGGAAAGGAGTGTGACGTCTGCGGCCGCCAGTTCTTCGCTCCGTCCACCTACAGAAGCCACAAGGCGCTTCATCGCGGCGAGACGACGTGCACGATCTGCCGCAAGATATTCAGCCAAAAAGTGCACCTCAGAGTACACATGCAAACAATGCACGGATGTGACCCCGTCATGCTCGTGGACGACGCCTCCACTGGCGGCCGGTGATGGACGCTGCTCGTGCGTCACTGGTCTGTGACAAACACTGCTCCTTTGTCGCCCAGCGCATTAGAAGTGGGGTCGAGCAGTTATGACGCATGTACTGTGATTTAATTGTGCAGCGTATGGAAGCTTCGTGGATAGCAGGAAACTTGTGCTGTCTGGTTGGTATGTTCCGCACTGACACGGCACCTGGACGAGGGGATGCTGCATGGACCGGATGCATGGTGAGCGATACCGAAGGGGCCGAGGCCTCGAGCCCCGTGCCTTGACCGGTAAGCCGATCTGGTGGGTTGTGTGCAGGAGTGCTACCGGCTGTGCCTGTGGTGGATGACGCGCTCCAGGTGAAATAACACAAATATACCAGATGCATGGAAGAGCTGTTGTTGAATTTGTGGTGGAGAGTCCTGTCTCTATGTAAGGCGATGATAAGAGAAACCATGCGCTGATATTGCGAAGGCCAAGCGTCCCCGGCTGGCTGACAGCATTCTGATGGGCGCGGTGCCGGGCAGTTTCGCCAGGCAAGCTGAAGTGCGCGGTATGCGGCCAGCCATAGTGCGCAGCACCACGAGAAGGACGCTGGCTGACAGCGTTCTGACGTTCTGATGGGGACGGTGCCGGGCAGTTTCGCCAGGCGAGCTGAAGTGCGCGGCAGGCGGCCAGCCATAGTGCCCAGCACCACGAGGAGGACGCCGGCGGACGAGCGTCGTCAGTTTTGCACCAGTACTATTCCACGTGCCATGAGCTTGTTAAATGTGGCAGTGTTGTCAATGTTCGGCGTACCTGGTCGCCACGTGGCAACAGCGGTCAAACAGTCGCGGAAAGAAATTTTACCCCCTAGGCATTTTTTAGCGGTTGTCCTGGTAGATGCGTCTGCATGTAGGTATGTACATCTGGTTGTGTCTTTGCCGCCCATCCATGTAACTGATACATCTGAAACCCCAGTGGTTGCCTGAGGGGAATACGGGTTCCAGAGGTCTGGCGGCGCCTGCCCTGTGGTTGGTCGCACTTAAATAAGAGATATGTGGACATCTCCTATTATATATTTTGCGTTCAGTAAGTCGACGCCTCCTTCTGCTTTTTTCCCGGCTGGGTTCAGTTTTGCATATACGGACTTCAGTCATGCTCATTTCTAAACAAACGCATCATAAAAAGCCAGCACAATGAAATGATGGTGTAACGGGCCTGAAGGTTACGTTCACCTGATGAGGGCATGTGATGCCCGGCATTAACATGCGATTATAACCCATTGTTGGTATCCCTCTGTCCCTTACTTCTGACGCATTACTTGTGTTGACGTGCGCTGACTCGGCCAGATCGAAAGGTCCTGTCTGGTGTGAAACGGTGCTATGTAGGTTCAGTATGCTAGATAAAGTTTCAAGTTGCCTAGCGCATCTGCGTTTTTGAAACAGTACTGCTACACCGCCGCATTACTTTCTTTCCTATTTCTCTCCGCTTTCAGACGGTTCCTGGTATCCGGGCAAAAAATGTGCGGTCTGTGGACGTCAGTTCTTCTCAGATTCGTCGTTCAGTAAACATGCCGCCCTTCACCGAGGGGAGACCAGGTGCCCCGTGTGCAGCCAGGTCTTCAGCCAGAAGTGCAATATGAAGAGGCACATGCGAACTGCTCACGGATGTAGAGAATAGTGTGGCGCGTGAGTTCCACTCGCCCACAACGAAACTTGTGGGCGAGTGAATGTGTGATGGTGAGTGAGTGGCGAAGCGCAGTGATAGGCGAAGAGTCTTGTTAGTGGTGCAAAATGTGCGTACAGTCAAATAACTACCATCCATGCTGCAATGGATCGGGCCCACTAATTTGTACGGGCGTACCTGAAAAGCCGAGACATGTCCTGTGATTAGTACACTTCCCTTGCTAGCCGTTCAGCTCTTTGGCGGCGAAGTGCCCGTCAAGTTCCGTTTTCAACGCGGTCCCAGTGGAAAGCCGGAACACCACTGGTGCGCCTTACGGCGGCTCAGCGATCGGGCCGTAACGTTCGTGCACTGCGAGCCAGGTCCTCCATTGCGCAAGCAAACTATATGCATACGTGCTGCGTTGGTCGAGAAGCTGCTGTTGAGTGCATCCTGTAGAAGTACCACCCACAACGCCAAAAAAGTTATCAGCATGGCCAGTACCGTAAGTGTGTTCAGTTCCACATAGGGCAGTAGTAAGTTAAGAGATGTGTGCGAGCAAATTATGGTATCTCTGCATATGCATATAACCCGATCGGAGGCATTGGAGAAGACAAACGTGCCACGGGCGGCCTCATTAGCAGGAGGTTAGCGCAAAGACCATGCAGACCATCAGCCGCATCATCGCTGTGACACGGGCCCCAGCAAGAGCGTCAACGACATTGTAAGCATGCCTTACTGCGCAGACGGCATTCAGTGAACGGTATGTCAAAACGTTGTCATCGACACAGATGATCTACGTCGTTTAGTCGATGTCAAAGGAACCGTGTCAGAGCAACGGACTTGACAATTGCAGTTTAGGCCTATGCCACTTATACCATGCCATTTTTCCCAATGGCATCCGATGTGACAAACTGGTTGAGGTGGAAAGAGCCCTGTTCGGCTCGTGCCCGCGGCTGTCGACACCGTGCGGACCCGGTGTTTGCGTAGCCCGGGCGTCTGCGTTGTAGGTGGCGCTTGCGCGTTGTGCCCACTCTATAGCGAGCGGCGTTCCGTACGCACGGCCATTTGTCCCGTATGTCTGAAGTGCTGGCGCTAAACGCTCACCCATAAATGTTCCGCATTCCGGCATGGTATATGGTGAAATTCACGTGGGATGAATGAGCACCATGTGAACAGGGCAGTGGGCGTTCTAAAGCCCAAATCATCATCATCACCATGTGGAATGGGCAGGCCGATCATGACAAATGTTTTCATGATCACTGAGCTCGAAGGCGGACGTGCGATGTGTCGCTGATTCCGGTCATGTCGCCCCGGATATGCTGCTGGATATCCTCGATCACTTCCGCCCGGTTCAGCCCTATCGTGTGGAGCGTCATTTTCTGGTCATGGTAATACTGGTGGTGTTGTGGGCGGTTGTGGTTGAACCGACTTTTAACCAGCTGTATCGATTGCGAGTATGATTAGAGCCAGGCCTCGCATTGTTTACTGTGTTTGTAGTTAATTTGCATATCTGGAGCTAAAAACCGATCTCAATAGTTGTCGCCCACTCTCCATTTTCCCGTGCATTTCCCATAGGAGTGCACCATAACAATAGCTTGCTGCAGATAAAAACGTTGAGGTGAGATGAGCTCTCCCCGAGCTAGTCATGTACACCTGGTAACATGTCTGGTAAGTTTTGATAGTTGTCTGTAAAGCTGCCCCTGCAAAAATTCAAGATCGTGTAGTTTTCGTACCAAATTTGTGTAGACCGACGACTACACTAGAAGAGACTGCCATTGGCGTAGAACGTGCGCAAAGGGCTGGTCGTGGACCATTGGCGCTATTGCTAAAACGCGTGCAGCTCTGCAGAAGTCTGCTGTTTATCCTGGCATGCACATTAACATTGGAGCGGTCAGGCTTGAGGTTCCAATGGGTGTTCCAAACTTCCCATTGGAAAGATCGTATTTAGTGCGTGACGAGGATTGTTTGGGTTACGGAAGATGTCGTTTGATGATGTGAATATATAAATGTGTGACATCTCTGCGTGGCTGGTGGGTCTGGCTGTTTCACGCAACGTCGCTGAAGCCAAACACCACTGTCACTGAAGCCACACACCACTGTCGCTGAAGCCACACACTACTGTCGCTGAAGCCACACACCACTGTCGCTGAAGTCACACACCACTGTCGCTAAAGCCACACACCACTGTCGCTGAAGCCACACACCACTGTCGCTAAAGCCACACACCACTGTCGCTGAAGCCACACACCACTGTCGGAAAGCCGAACGCTGACAGTCCACTGACGGCACTGGGCAAGGTCTGTTGGAGCTGCCCCTCGTTACGTGCGCTGGGGCGCGAAGCTGCACTGCAATGCTCAGCGTGCTAGTTATGTCTTTTTTTTTCGTAACGCGTTCAAAATGGGGCGGAGTGTTGTGACGGCTCTCTGGTTGTTTGTATGAACAATTACTTTCGATGCCATTGGTTTCTGTTTGTTATCCCGGAGTTCTTCGGTTTAATACGCGCAACTCCAATGCTTTGGGGTACTGGTAACACACATTCTGAAAATGCCCGATCCAAAGTTAACGGGCTTGTGCTTTTAAACCTGCCCTGCTGCAACATTCGTGATTTTTGATAAAGGTCCTGACGTTAGTTATTTTTCAGAAAGCTCATCCTGGTACCCGGTAAAAAAGTGTGCCACCTGCGGACGCCAGTTCTACTCAGACTCCACGTTCAGAAAGCACGCTGCCATGCATCGGGGGGAGACCAAGTGCCCCGTATGTGGCCGGGTTTTCAGCCAGAAGGGTAACATGAAAACGCATTTGAGAGCTGTCCACGGACGAAGCGATTAATGATGCGTATCGGAACAGAAGCGAAGCTGTCATCGATGACAAGTGGATAGAAATATTGGGGAAAAGCAAAATGTGTTGGAGCGCATGCCTTCAAAGCTGGATGATGTGCTCTTCGTTCTGCACCTTTTAATACATGAACTGCTCTGTACGTTAGCAGTGCTTGGTTTGCAAACCACCTGCCTTCAGCAGTGTGGTTGGAAAGTGGTCGCGTTGTGCTCGGAGGACACTTGTACACTAGATTGGTTGCATTTCCTGAGATCGCAGGCATTGTGAGCTCAAACTCTGCTTGTACTGAAAAGCGGGCCTGGCTGATGCGATGGCAACGGTGTTAACACTCGTGCAACGTGTTACTGGTACCCAGTGCGCCGCGCCTGGAATAATGTGAATACATTGCTGTTGTGATTGACTACCACGCTATATAAACTCAAAATGGCAAGGCATCTAGGGCGCCGATGGTGTAGTGGTCAAGGCGCCTGCGCGCGTTACCACTGCGCGTCTGGGAAACCAGAGGTACGGGGTTCGATTTCCGCGTTGCCCGCCCTTCCTGCCAGTGTGAGAGGTGGGCGACGTCACACAGCCTCAGCAGCTGGGTGCGTCGTAAACCTCCAATGAGGATGATGACAACAAAGCATTTCATTTGATTAGATGACATACGAAACCACGGGCCGCTGCTACAGTAAACCCAACCTCTGAAAGTTGTTTGATAGCGTTGTGATGACGTGTAGTGTGGTCTGCATTAAATTGGAACTGACGTTTCCCAAGCGGTGGAGCCGGCTGTAAAACTGTAACGGCTAGTGTGGTCTGCATCAGATCGGAACTGACGTTTCCCAAGCGGTGGAGCCGGCTGTAAAATTGTAACGGCTAGTGTGGTCTGCATCAGATCGGAACTGACGTTGCCCAAGCGGTGGAGCCGGCTGTAAAACTGCATCGGCCTGTGGGCTAACATGCACCTTAGATCAGGTGCGAAACGTTCTGTGTTTTTGGAATGGCTGCACCATAAAGCGGCACGCGAAATATATGCGCTGAGCAATAATTTCATATGGCCATGGGGTCTGCTACTACCCCAGACGCGCAGTTCAACGATTCTCGGGCAGTGCGGATTCGGATATCGAAAAGTTGGTGAGTGCTGTTGTGCGTGACATGAGGTGTTTTTGGTTCTTTTGTGAGTGTAAAAGCCCTACCGTTTATCTAGTGGACGATAGTCTAGCTACGCGAGTGCAGTTGGATGGAGAAAGTTAGAAATGGGAGACCCTGAAGCTTTCGTTAGAACTGCTCTTCTTCTTAATAGTTGTCTCGAGAATGAGGCAGTATGTTGTGTAGAACTGATTCTACGCACGTACGTCTCCTACAACTTTGCATGGCTCCAAAAAACTGGCCGAGGCTTTCATGCAGCTGGGCTATTCAGCGCGCCTTCATTTTCAGATGGATGCTGGTATCCGGGCAAGAAGTGTGCTGACTGCGGACGTACGTTCTTCGCCGCTTCCTCGTTCAGAGGTCACAGCGCCATGCACAGGGGGGAGACAAAGTGCCCTGTGTGTGACCGGGTCTTCAGCCACAAGGGCAACATGAAAGCGCACTTGAAAAACGTACACAAACGGATGTAGCACAGTGTGGTGATGGGGAGAGAGGTGAGACGATGAGGTGGACAGGACTGCCTTGTAGCTATCTTATGTTTTCTGCGATCGTCTTGCTATTGGTGCGCTCACTCGCAATAAGGTCCCGTGCCGTCATCGCGTGACACAGAGGGACCGCCAAGTTTTTGGACCATGTCTACTGCCTTGCCAGGGGTGGACGCATTTCGGGGGGGGGGGGACGTTTGCGACGGCGGTGTCCGGAAGCCAGTTCAGGTGTGTGCGATCCGGAATGCCATCCACAGTCACTCACTTCAGCCGGTCCGTAAAACGCAATTTTCTTTCACGTGTATATCTTGCGGTTCCAATGCGGTACGTAATGCGAACAGTGAAGGGAGCAGGACGGCCGTAGTGACTGGTTTGCTGTTAGATTTCACTATGTCATTGTCATGCTCGTTAAAACAGTTTTTACAACAGTAGCGCTTTGTGTGGACTAAACTGGGAAATGTATTTATTTCTTTCGTACATAGGCCGTGTTTTCAGCACTGCTCAGCGAGTGCAAATTAATCCACGTTGAACATTTTTCGGAACTGGATTCCTCTGAGGTGTGGGTGCGTAATACACGGGTATGGCCGCACGTGTGTTTGTCATCTGCTCTGGTTTGTGTCGTCCGAGATGATGGTTATTGCTTTGTCTCATCTTTTCTTAGTTGGCAAAGGATGAGTAGTTTTGTGGCAGGCTTGGTATGGAATGGTGGGGGAATGGGGAACGCCGCTGGAGCCTGATTAGGTCGGGTGGATGGTAGCCGTCTGGGGACTGATTAGGTCGGGTGGATGGTAGCCGTCTGGGGACTGATTAGGTCGGGTGGATGGTAGCCGTCTGGGGACTGATTAGGTCGGGTGGATGGTAGCCGTCTGGGGGCGGGGCCTCGTATGCTGCACTTAGTTTGAGCTGGCTATGCACCTGCGAAATAAGACTTAGTGAGGTCGGGCATAACCGCAACTCCAGGAATAGGTCAGTTTGAATTAAGTGCCGGGTCCTGAAAACGCTTTGCTGGCATTAACCCTTCCGCCGGTCACCTAAGCTAAAACTTTCTATGGTTATTTATGAAGATTTAGATGACTTCCTTTTCACCATGGTTTTTCCAGAAAGTGGTGACAGTGATCCCGGAATTTTTTTTCAAGCCCCGACAAATCCCCAATACCGGAAATATCGTGCCCCATGTACACTTGTGCTTAACTATCGGTGCTGTTGTCCTATGACCCATATATATATATATATATATATATATATATATATATATATATATATATATATATGCTTAACTTTCCCGTATCACAATGTATGCACTGTTCACGCCTTGGCTGTGTGCGCCGTCCCTTCCTGCCCGGAAGAGGATTGGAAGTAGGAGGAGTGGGGGTGGTGGAGTTGCAGCTGCAATGCGTTGAATTTGATTCACTGGAGGCTCGGTTTTTATAGAAATATCTAGCAGTTCTAACCTTACATGATGCAGCACAGTACTGTACATGTTCCTTCGTTTTTTGATTTTTTCATTCCACTTTATTCCCCTTTGCAATATTCAATATTGACGGTGCTCTGGAACTTTGCAGGCGCCTCGGCTGGCTCGCGGATGAGCGCGTGGAGCTGTGAAGAATGCGACAAAACATTCACCCAGAGGGAGTCGCTGAGGCAGCACCGTGCCGTTCACAGGGGCGAAACGCGGTGTCCTATCTGTTTGAAAGTGTTCAGCACCGTGTACAATTTACAGATGCACATGCGCTGCGTTCACGTTGTCAATTCAAATTCGTAGTCGTAGACCGAGACCCGGCGCTCCCCTTCAGAACCTCTCATCGGCGGATATAACAACAGGCGTACCGTGACAACCATATTATCCTGGATCCAGCTTCTAAGTTTTGTGCTGTATCTAAGTATTTTGCATTTTGCTGCATTTTACACAAGCAAGCGCCTTTTTTCGGCCCGTGTTCGTAATTTCTTCGTCATTGTTCGTCATCGAAGACCAGGACTATTTGAGACCTAAGTGCGTGCGCGTAACGGTATCTCCAGTATAGATTGCTCTTGGGTTTGTAAAGATTTTCATCTGCTTGCACCCATTTTAGACCCATGTGTGTATTTTAGTCCATCTAGCATGTCTATGGGCGAAAACGAAAGACATGACCAAATACCCGATCACTTGCGTCGTTCTTTTTTTGGCCTTTTGCTTGGTGCTTCATACTTCATTATAACATTTGGGCCGGTAGTGAAAGATTGGTGTCTTGTGAAATGGTTATAATGGCTTTTTCCATCCGGCATTTTTGTTTTCGTAAATCCACGGTCATAGGTCGTATGTGAAGCTTCGGCGTGCTTTGCACTGCGCTCAATAAACAGTAGCCTAGGTCGAGAATTCCTGTTTCAAGAGCTGTCTCTCAGTGTCGATGACATGTAGCGGGATTCAATAACGATCCAACGAAACATCAGGTGGCGAGAATCAGTCATGGAAAGTTCTGGGGATGGTTTGCGTGAAGAAACTACCCGAGTCAGTATATTTCAATGCGTAAATGTAATATTTTTCGTTTCTTTGTAGAAGTGATATGAGACTCACCCCACTCATGATTATATTTTTGGCACACATGAACTGTTTGCTGAAAGAGATCTCCCAGTCAACCATTTCTGCCTGCAAAGATCCATGAACAGGAAGCTTCGGTAGAAAAGCGATTTAAGTGATTACTGAAGCCGATGCTCGGCGGCAGTTTTGGCATATGCATCCAAAAATGGTTACTGGGAAAACATCATTTTCGAGTTTTTTTAGGGCTCATGTTGAAACCGTGGGGTGGGTTTAGATCTCTGGATGGGCCTTTCCCCATGTTTATTTCAGCTCCCTCGGTGCGTGTCCCAAATCAGTTAAAGTCCCCCAGAAACGAACGGTCGGTAAAACTGTATGATTCTGAAACGTCTTTTTAACAGCAACACAATGAACAGCTGAGATATTGACGCTACCGTGAAATACTGGCATTTGTTCTCGATCATAACGGCTAACTGCAACGCTGCCATCATGAGACTTGCTTCAGGTACGGCCGGCATTCCATGAGACCGATTTTTCTCTCTGAAACTCGGCACAATTATTGCAGCCGGAATAGACAACTGCTGGTAAAAAGACGCCAGGTGATTCAGTGGGATCTACTGCAGGGTTGCATGCGTTTAGCTAAAAAAATCAGCGTCGCCAGATGCTTTAAATAGCCGTCACAAACGGGGGCAATATGACTGAACAACGCACGCGGATGTGGGCATGATAATAACTTACAGAAAAGTCCTGAAGGCACCAACTTCTTGCACGGAAAGTGTACCCGGTGGCATCATACTGCTCATGACGTCACAGCCAACTGGTCACGGAACGACAACTTAGCGGGCAGATTGTTGACCTTCATCTGATTACTGCTCTCGTGTGACTTGTAGAGGCTCAAGAATTGGAGTGCTGCAGGCCTTGATAAGGCCATATTGCGGTATAATTTGTGTACTTATTACAATGTAGTCATCTCGGCTCAGTAAAGCACATTCAAAGCGAAAAGTTATGTTTATATTACAGTGTGTTTTTTTTTTGGTCGCTATCGCCACATTTAAATTATGACATGTCTCGATAAGGGCTCTGAGTTACAAAATCATCCGAATGCTTTATAGGGCTCATAGGTTCTCAAAATTCCCCAACTTACTTTCGGATTTTCCGGAATCCCTGACAATCATGCGGTGGATTGTGAGTAATTGTATGTGGCATAATGGCTGTTGGACCCGCTTTTAAGAATATTCCATTTGTGCCGTCAAATTGCAAGGCCTTACCTGCCGCTCGCAGGACGCGGTCTGGCGCCTGGAGCCCGGACGCTGCCGGTTTCCCGTCAATTCTTTTCGTCGGCGATGACAGCCATTCCACAGCCGAGGGCGGATTATCATTCACACGTCACGCCGGGCCCGCATAAATGACGTCACGCGTCCAGCGCACCGACTCTGGCGGTGTGGCATCCGGTACGGCAGGTGCCTCGGTACGGCTGACTCAGTACGACTGATCCGGTGCGGCAGTTAACTCGGTACGGCTGATCCGGTGCGGCAGCTGACTCGGCACGACTGATCCAGTACGGCTCAGGGGACCGGATCACGACCGGAAGCGCGCCGCAGCGTGATTGATGCCTGTCCCAGGGCGGCAGGGAGATGGCTGCGTACACGTGCGTGGGGGGGGGGGGGGGGGGGGGGGGGGGGTACTTCGCGCAGCGACGGACGTGAGCATAGTTCGGCGATTGTTCGCCATTCACGAGATGTTTTACAAAAAGGCCAGTAAAAAAGAGAAACAGCTAATGTTTAGGGTTGACTATTTTGTCAAGGTGAACGTGTAGGCGGTGCACCACCCACCCGGGGCCTCTGCGAACTGCGTGAGCGCTTACGTGGCTCAGTTACAGTCGCGACGTCGTGAGCCAGTGCAACATTCAGCTCACGGGCTGAGATGGCATGTCGCACGGCTCAATGTGCGTTGACCCTGCCCGAGATATTGTGAACCAAGCACGGCATGACTGCGAAACAAACGACGGCATAGACCTCAACGTTTGGTGGTGGTGGACCAAAATGCGTCAGCTGTGACGAAAAACCGTACGACCATGTTCAAGGTGCTCTAAATGATCGACTAAATATTTGACGCAGCTGAAGCTTAGACCACGTAAGCCATTTGGACGAATTCTGCCAATCATGTCGCACAATACAAATATGGGAACAATTACTGAAACGCACTTTAGCACGCATATTCTACGACAAAATGTGATTGTTGGGCGGTTGTACACAGAATGCGATCAACATCTCCTCGGCATAATGGGTGTCAGCCGTGACCCATGAAGAATAGGCCGTCCGATGCTAAAAGGTGTGAAATATTGCAAACTCGGGTGCACGAAATTTTTGCACCGCGCATTGAATGGACCAAGGTAAAAAAAACAACGCAAGGAATCTTGGTAAGCTCCTCGAGTGTTACGCATTTACCACAAACGATATGGCACCCGGAACCAAGGGATTGGCCTGAATTTGTATAAGGGAGGGGCACGGGGCTCGGGAGTACGCATAACGCTCCGTAGGAAGCCATCTTAACATAAAAAGAAAACAAAACGGGCCTAAGGAAGGGAAGGGTTAGGTCCCCCTGCCCCTCCCTTAGCTGCACCCCTACCCGGAGCTAAGTGTTTGTTTGGCGACGGAGCATTGATGCACGGAAGAACAGCGTTAAACCGTGTCTTAATCTTTTGGAAACGCTTGGACTGGTTCGCACAAGCGTAGGGCTCACTGACGCATTTTGTCCACTGCGGGACGGCCTTGCTCTGAAAGCCTCGGCCCACCATCCCTGGCACCCGCGCCAAGGAGACTACGGTGCCGGGGCGTTGTGCAGACATAAACTCATCTCTGCCTGCATAGCGAACGGGAGGTGCAGAACTGGTGAGCAAGACAGGGCAGATAGCATGCAGCAGTTGACGTGCGAGACGATTCTAAGTTCATGGTAGGCCGGCTTCAACTTGGCTCGAACGCTTGTATCGTTAATAGCAGATCTTGCTTGGCTGTTTAAGGGCGGTGCTATTCACGTTACTCCGTAAAGGGCGACATTATACACAGTTACCCCGTCCGCAATAGCTGAATGGCTGCAGCTTTGGTTGCAGAAAGGGGACTAAAGCGCAGCAACGTGGAAAGACTATCAGTCTGAAACCAAGAAACATGGCGATGGGTGCACTTGTACGAACCCTGCACTTGGAAACCCAGTGTCCAAACCTCACGTGCAGTTATTACCTGACGTCTCTGCGTGCAGGTTCGCCTTGGCGACCAAGCATCAAGTGCGACATATGCGGCCGCGTGTTCACGGCAGCCTCCACGTACCGCAACCACAAGGCCTTTCACCGCGGCGAGACTGCATGCCCCATCTGCAATTACGTCTTCACGGAGAAGGGCAACCTCAAGGCTCACATTCGCCGCGTGCATGGCATGGATGTCGGTGGCAAGTGATGGCGGAAGGTACCACCGCTGCCACCATTCGTGAACTTGACTGTGTTGTGTCTGCTTACTCAAGGTGACAAAAAGGCGTGTGCGATTGGGTATGTGTTAGGGTTTTTGCGCACGTTTGAAGGACTGTAACTGTTTCCATGGACTACTGTAAATACATAAACAAACTGGCCTTGTGGCTGTCGCCTTTGTCGTCAGGATATGAAATCAAAGTTACGACCTATTTGAATAGTATACGGTGGGGATGAACAGTTACACTCCATGGCGTATCGAGTTCGATTGTTCTGCCGGGCTCTTTGTGCGGTTATTGTATTGATCCGATGATCGCAATCACAGCATGCAAATATTTGGAGTACATGGTGTAAATTTTATTTTGCAATTTTTCAGTGGTTTGCGATAAGAATGAACTTGATCACGGGTCAAGTTCGAGAAACCTGCCAAAGTCTTCATACTGCTTTTTATTTCGTGCAACACAAGTGATGATGCGCACCGGAATGATGGTCCGATGATCCGAATGGGAGCAATTTGTCATCAGTGGCAGTTTTACGTCATCAGTAGCGGTTTGACACGTCGGAGTCAGCGATATTTACAGGAGCAAATCTATCGAAATGGAAGAAAACACGTGCTTCGATACGAGCATGCGAAGGTTTAATGGCTCATTACATGAATTCAGACACAATTATACAAGCGTTTTCACTGATACTTTACCACATTTTTGTTTTGAAATTATTGTACTTTACTTTGGTGTTAGACCTTCCATGGGGCATTGGCCTTCGAATTTTGAGATGATGGATGCAGTTTGAGTGGTCTAGTGCCTGTTTCGATTGTTGGCAAATTGATGAGGTGCTAGAACGTGTATTCCATTGGCCATCAACTCGTATAAAGCATAGTGAAGGCTTCTTACGTAAAGGCTTCCTAAAAATGTCATAATTAACATGTGACTGCCGATGGCTGCTGGGGAGGGGTTGGGGTCTCAGCTTCCTTCCGAACCGCTTCAGGCAGGTCTGACGGGCTATCTGCGAGTGTCAGGTGTGGGGTCCCAGCTTCCTTCCCCTCTTCAGGCAGGTCTGGCGGGCTATCTGCGAGTGTCAGGTGTGGGGTCCCAGCTTCCTTCCCCTCTTCAGGCAGGTCTGACGGGCTATCTGCGGGTGTCAGGTGTGGGGTCCCAGCTTCCTTACCCTCTTCAGGCAGGTCTGACGGGCTATCTGCGAGTGTCAGGCGATTCCCAGATGATACATGCTTTGACGTTAGGTGAGTTCCCGGTATTGGGACGTCACCAATACGGCCGTTACGTCTATTTTGCCTTCACTTTCAGCGATTTGCAATTTAGTTTCATCTCTTTCAGATATTTCTATATTTTCCTTGCTTTTATCTCATCCTTAGATTGATTGCATGCCCTTTGGGGCGGATCTTATTCGATAGGGTACACTAGACCACCATCATAGGCTATGCAGTCAGCTGGTGAGCAGCAAGCCAAAAGGGTTTTTGCCGCCTACCTGCTGCGTAAATCGGCATAGCTTACAATTTCAAATCAAAGACTGTTGTATGTCATATGAATTGGGAGGTGTGTTAATGACATTATATTTGGTGAACTGACTGACCTCACTTTGACCATAGGCCTTTGCTGTCATTTTGGCATGATATTGACGCTCAGAGCACACTGCTGCCTTTGTTGACAGGTTGAGCGCTAACTTCCATTGGTCGTGTGCTAGATGCTCTCCAAGATTTCTGGTCGTGAAGGCTTGTGAGCATTTTAGCTATATCTGAGGGATCTTGGGGATTTTGTGGCCCGAGCAGCTGGTATATTTTCCTATCGGACAGGTGGATTCTGAGGCGGCAGTGAAACTTTTGACTTATTTTTAACAATACTTCGAACCCCTGTTACGCGGTCGCCACTAACGACATACCCACATCGAGACCAGGTTAAGGATGGTGCTTCAGAAAGCAAGCAGCCTAAAATGAAATGGTGAAAGAAGTTTAATGACAGGTCCTGATGTCCAGCTCGATCTGTGCATTCCATAAGTACACGTCCAGGATTCGCTCTAAAGTTGTTAAGGTCTAAAGGTTTTGTAAAATTGATATAATTTATACCTTAGATGTCGCGGAATGTTGTTCAATCCATTATTCCCACCAAGCAGTGGACAGCAGGGCTCCTGTCCAGCAGGTGCCTGTCTCACCTGATTGGTTCAGTGCCTCGGCATAGATTCATGCCAGGGGTAGTTTGAACAAAAATTGTGCCCTTGTTTCGAACCCATCCATGCATTTTTTTGGTGTTGTTTTGCATGTCCAACGATGACGTGAAACATCTCATCTCCCTTTTCTTTGATTGTTTCGCAGGCGTTGGTGGCTGGTTCCCGGGCAAGCAGTGCCCGAAGTGCGACCGCCGGTTCAATGCCTACTCGTCGTACAGGAATCACCTGCCCCTGCACCGAGGGGAGACCACTTGTCCCATCTGCCATTACGTCTTCACGGAGAAGGGCTCCCTCAAGGGACACATTCGGCGCGTACATGGTGTTGACCTCAGTGGCAAGTGAGCGTCGATGGGGGCGCCTCGGTAGCGAACCGACCCCGCTCAACGACGCTGTTGCTGTTGCTGGAGTAATCCGTGTGAGGCCGCCCCTGTTGCGGTCGATCGCTGGAGTAATCCGTGTGAGGCCGCCCCTGTTGCGGTCCGTCGCTGGAGTGATCCGTGTGAGGCCGTCCCTGTTGCGGTCGGTCGCTGGAGTAATCCGCGTGATGCCGCCCCTGTTGCGGCTGGTCGCCGGAGTAATCCGTGTGAGGCCGCCCCTGATTGCTCGCGCCAGTGTGATGCACCACGTCTTGTGAAGCGATTGCTCGGCGCGTGTGACGTCACTACCCAGTGCGCTACGTGGAGACATAGTGTCGTTGCCTGCGGACGCGTCCAGTTTTAACTCGAAAATACAAACTGATGAGTCGATTGCAGTTGCTGAATGTGTTTCCAGATAAGGGCGTGGGCTTGACGTGCGGGTCATGCGATATCCGCAATAACGTTACTCTAATATTGACAACAATATTTCTTAACCCGGCAATGACCAGAGCTACTCAGCGGCACACCATTGACCAGCGGGGGGGGGGGGGGGGGGAGGGGGAGAGGCAGACTTGCGCCCTGCTGATCTCAGGAACGGCCGGGCGGAATTAAAAATTCAAAAGGCAATAGATAGCGTCGTGACGTGCGGTCTGAGAGCACAAGAGACAAACTAGAGCGGCCTCAAGAGACCACAAGAGACAAACTAGAGCGGCCTCTGTCGTCCGCTGCAGACCTGAGCCCCGCCGTTTGCTGCCGCCGGTCTGGACCCATCTGGCCCACCCATTGCCGCCGGTCTGGACCCACCGGACCCACCCATTGCCGCCGGTCGGGACCCACCGGGCCCACCTGGGCATGGGTGATATGCGCTGCGATGCATTCGAGCCACAACTCAGTTACTGGCACGGATAAATGCTTCAAACTAGGTAAAGGTGTTCTTTATTATCATGTGGAGGACATGTGGTCGTATCCTTTCATAATTTTGTGTTCCAAGTCCGAACGTTTTTAGCGTGCTTTTTAACAACATTTTTGTTGCGTGACATATCAATATTTCAATGTGGAACATTCAAAGAACACGAGGACGATGCAAATGAACAATGACTATGTGGCTCAAATTCCCCTCAAACATCTTTGTTTTTGTTTAGTCACTTTGTCAGCTTGTCTTTGCCTATTCACCGTTGTCAAAAATCGGTAAACGTTTTCGATTTATAGCGAATACCCTGCAGAGGAGGGATTATCCCCTTCGGTCAGTGCCAAGTTAAGGAATGTGAAACCATCCAGCGAATTTGATGACCAGTTCCCCAAATCGTACTACCACGCGGTTGCGGGAGGCATTCACGATGGATCTTTCAGCTCTTTCATTGTCATAACTCTGATTGTCGACCCATCTTGAGATTAGTCTTTGGGTGGAATTTGGTGGATTGGTGGAACTTCTCTATGCTGCTTGTGTACCATTCACAAAAGAAAATTGCGTCTTACTGTGGCGCAGAAAATGGAAGTTCAATAACCTTAGCGGTGTTGTGCCTATCGTCAAGCTCCCTCATCTTGGTTTTATGGGATGGGCTGGAAGTGCTGTTCATCAGAAGTGCTCTACGATCCTCCGAATTCCCGAGCACCCGAAATATTGTCAGTTTTATGTTTGTCTCCGCCGTAACCCCATGGGACAGAACAACGCCAAAATAAATCCGCCACTATATGTATTATCCCTAATTAAGTAAATGTTAAGGCCACATCTACACGAAGTTATTTCAATTTGAAAAGGCGCTGCTGGTAAAAATACGAAATAACTAGGTATTTGTCCAAAATGTGCCACAAAATCCCTGTTAGCCAGAGCTATAGGTAGGCCAAACTTCTTTGATGTAGTCATCATATTTTACACTGGTGCTATGCAGTACTACCTCATATGCTTGTAAGGAACGCATCAGATGCTGCAGTTTGCTGGAAAGGCTCGCCGTGTTCTTTCCAGCTGTTTACCGAAGTAAAGGATGTCAGGCTTTTGCGTGAAGCATTTCGGGTACGCATGACATTTATGTGGATAGGGCGTCCCAAAAATCATCCATTTTTGAAGGAGAAACTAAGATGGGGTATGCTAGGCTGTACGTTTTAAGATTTAAGTCGAGCATGTTTAATGGATGGATTTCTGAGGTCTGAGCTCGCGCTAAGCGGTGCTTGTTCGACCCTTGATCCCCACGATCCGGTAGCGCAATTTCAGGTCAGCGGCAGGGCTCGGTGGCGAAAGTTTGACGTTCCACGCTGCTCGGCATGGTCTGCCCTGCCCTCTGACGTCAACTGACCTTTGGCACGTTGACTGCCACCGGTCCCAGCCCACACCTGTCACGGGCAAATAGCGAGCGCATAAAGCGACCCTAACCCAACCCGCCACGGTTGGATGGATCGGAAGGCAGGCGCTCTAACTAACTGAGCCATTGGGACAGACTAATTGAAGTAGT